TGATAGGCTAGGATGGCCTCATGAGCCTTCGTGAGGCCGAACTTGCTATGGCGAAGTCGTCTCCCTTCGACATACACCCTTCGCCTTACATCCTTCGCCCAAGAAGCCTTTGGCTTTGCGAGGTACCCGCGCGATTCTCCGCCCTTCGCCGTGTTTGCTCTATAGTCTTTGCCATGGGGGCTTCGTCCCAACTAATCTTGACGTCTCAAGCTTGAATCCTCACTGGTCGCATGGTTTCAGCAGGTTTGGTCGAAGGGCTTCATGCCATACCGCCAATAGAAATTAGACTTTTTTTCGCCTTTTTTTTCTCGTGCATTTTTTTTACAAATGGTTTTTTTCACCACTTTCTTATAGGGTCGGACCTTTCTAGATATAATAGGACTCGATTTTTTTTACCGCGTCACATATAATTCCTTTTTCTTTGGAATCGTACATTTTTTTATTTTTTTCGCCTTTTTTTACCGCGACAACGGAGTTGGATTCGTTTCGATCTTCTTTCTCTTTTTTATTGGACAGATTTGTTTTTTTTTCGCCCAGTTTTTTTTACTGGACTTTTTTTTCTTTTTTCACCCGGTTTTTTCACTCGGTTTTTTTCAACCGGTCGATTTTTTTTACCGTCTCACATATAATTCCTTTTTCTTTGGAATCGGACAGTTTTTTTTAAATTTGTTTCGCCCTTTTTTTACGGGCGTTGACAGAGTCGGATTCGTTCTGATTTTTTTCCTTTTTTTGCCCCCTTTTTTTCGGACATATTTATTTTTTTTCTCGTTTGGTTTTTTTTCGCCCCTTTTTTGGATCGGTTTTTTTCTTTTTTTCGTCCGGTTTTTTCGCCCTGTTTTTAGTAGAGATTTGTTTTTTTCGTCTGGTTTTTTTTCGCCCCGTTTTTTTTGGATCGGTCTTTTTTTTCTTTTTTCGCCCGGTTTTTTTAGTTTAGTAGCCAGTGATGGAATTTTATTTTTGTGAGGAACCAGTCCTATACGTAAGACCAATATGAGTAAGATTGGAGAACAAATTTTTTTGATATCGAATACTCCCTCCAACCTAAAAAATATCGTTTTAGACCTTTTGAAAATCAATAAGACATAACCTTGATCACTTAATTCTTTTATTATATTCTTTTATTTTTTTTTTAATATTATTTTTTTCTCCTCTTTTTTCTTGACGTTTTCTTTCGCCCGGTTTTCTTTGATCGGACAATTATTTTTGGGGAATCAGACAGATTCATTTTTTCCCCCGATTTTTCTTTTACTGCGTCAGATTCTTTTCTTTTTTTTGCAAGTTTTTTTCGCCCGGTTTTTTTTGGATCGGACAAATTTGGTTTTTTTTCGCCCGGTTTTTTTGACGGACGATGGAAGCACCTCTTATTTTTTAAGTAGTAGAGAGTAGAGATAGAGATACATACGTATACAAAGTTTATATACAAATTTTGTATACACGTATATAAACTTTGTATTATACATGATGTTTTTTCTGATTTTTTTTAATTTTTTAAATATGTACATATATAAAGTTTGTATACGTCGTATACAAAGTTTATATACATCGTATACGAACTTTGTATATGTATATATACTTTTTATACATCAAAAGTGTGTACATATTAGAAAAGTATACTTATATGCTATATATATGTATATATATTATATACATACGTATATAAACTTTGTATACATATATTGTATATACATCTACTCAACTAGCAGTATCTTCCCTTGTCGGTTGGGCTCTCTCTCAACCCTCTCTTTCTGCTACAATAGTTCCCTCTCCCTCACCACTGACCCCTCTTCCTTCTCCCTCCCGGCGGCCTTGTCGCTGGTGGTAGGAGGGAGAGGGGTCATCCTCCTTCCCCTTGTGTAGATCTGTGTCGGGTCAGTCTCGTTAGGTCAGGTTTTTCCCTTTTTTTCTCTCTCTAGTTTGTGTCCTTCTCCTTTGATTTGGACTCCATGGATGGAGCTTTTCCTCCTGGGGTTTTGGTCAAGAGCAAGATGAAGGAGGTGCTCCTGAGCTGATGCGTCTAGGGCTATGGAGGTGGCGGTGGTCCAGATCTAATCGGTGGGTGCCAGCCTCGGTGGGACCGGCCAGCAGTAACGGACCAAGGATTTTTACTATGGGTGTAAAGCATCACCGGACTCAGCAAAAGAGTTCCTCGAAGCTCACCATTAAATCTGAGGAGCTCTGACTGTAATCCTGCCAACCAGGGTTGAACCCGCGATTGAAGCTCAACTCGAACGGCAAGCCCTACAAGGTTACTGCTACCTGAAAACCAGAAGAAACACAGTTGCACTACTCAATTGTCGAAACAAGAATTCAGCAATAATAAAAGGGGTAGCGCACGAGACCTAAAAGTGGATGGATACGGAGACAAGGATTTAGACAGGTTCAGGCTCTCTCAATGAGAGGTAATACCCTACTCCTGTTTGGAGATTTGAATCCGCCGGGTGTAGTATAGATCTGACGATCTAGTTGTGTCATGCCCCTAGAGGGCCTCCTGCCCACCTTATATAGGATGGGGGACATGATTACAAGATAGAAACCTTAACCAATACAGTATCGGTTTCCTAAATCTACTTTACAACATAATCAAACCAGGACTTTAGGCCGTTCCATAATATAAAGGAAACGTAATACCCAAGTCATGATCCGTTACATATTCCGTAGATATAAGTTATCCCCTATAACCAGTGGGATAACCATGTCGTGTGGATATGTGGTACCCATAATCTCTACATCAATCAACTGAGATCACAGGAGTTCCGTCTTGTTGGATCGACAAAGGAGGTTGAGGAAGAGGTGGATTTCAACGCAAGCCAAAGTACAGGGGAATGAATCCTCCATCTTGACGAGCTGCCGCCTTGGATGGTCCAAACAGTGACGCTCTTGCCAAGGCTGCCACCATCACCACTGTGATTGAAGACAACATCGCCACTTCCTCCAAGGCCGATGACGGGAAGACGGAGAAGCACACTGGCGCCACCTCGTCCACGGTGTCTGCCAAGGTTGAAGATAGCATTACCGTATCCGGCAAGGTCAGCGACTCGCCATATCAGAACGCCGTATTCGGCAAGGTTGATGATCCAACGGCGTCCCTGCCGATGACCACCACGCCGCCGCTGCTCTACCCTACCAGGTCGCCCTGTCACCGGCCACCGCTCAGGATGGCCTCTCCTAGGGGTGGCAATTTCCCCGTGGGGCCGTGGGACCCGCCGGGTGCTTAACCCGCGGGGAGTCGGGGTCAGGGCCCCGACAATGGGCCGGGGCAGGGGCGGGGGAGGACAGTCACCCGCAGGTGACCCGCAGAGCCCCGACGATATATATTAGACTCCTAGTATGTTGTAAGCCCAAAAGGCCCATCTAGCCTATTATATAAATCCAAACCTTAATTTCCCCACCCCACCCTATCCCCAATTACTCATCCCACCCTGCCACCATCTCCACCGGTGGCTAGGCGCGAGTGACGGTGTCGGTGGACAGGTACAGGCGACGGTGCCGGCGGTGGCGGCATCAGCAGCCACGCGTGAGCGACGGCGTCGGCAGTCACGCACAGCCATCCGAGGGCGGCGGCAGCGGTGGCGGCCAAGGACTAGAGGGGGGCAGTTGATCGTGCGTGGCCACGCGACAAGCCATGGATCAGCGCCCCCTCCACGTGGCGAGTGGGACCCACGTGGTGCCCCACATGCCATGGTCAACTCTTTTCCCTCCTCTACCTCTTCCCTCTGTCTGTGCAAGGCCTCGTGGCGGAGGGGAAAAGCAAGCGGCAGCATTCCAGCGAGTTCAGGTGGGGTGCGACAACCTGAGAGCTAGAGGGGACCACGGTGGACCTCGAGGTGGCAGCGAGCAGAAGTAGACGGCGCTCTGGTGTGTTTAGGTTGGGGCGCGGCGGCCTAGGAGCTTGAGGGGACCACTGTAGACCTCGAGGTGGAAACGTCTAGGCACAGGAAGGTGTAGGGCGGCGGCGCGCCGTGCAGTTTGGCAGTGGTGGAAGGTAGTGTTGGTGGCATTCCGATAGTGGAATCGCTGGGGAAAGAGAGCGAAAACGAAGTACTTTGCATAGAGAATCCATTTTTACCTTAAATTTCGGAGGATTGTCGATGTGTGTAACACATTTTGGAGCTCGGCAAGTGGCAGCCGGATTAGGGTTTTCCTCCGGAGACGGAGATTGAGTTGGTGGAGATGGGTGTGGATTGGTGAGAGTGGAAGGGGAAGAATAATGCGGTTTTTTTGCCTTCGGTCTTGAGTCTTCTAGTGAAAGGATGGAAGATATATGGTGGCGGGAAGTAGGAGGTGTTGCTGGTGTATTGGTCGCGGCGGTTGTTCGTGCACCACTCATGTGAGCATGTGGCATGCTCGAGCAGGCACCGGTGGGGCTTTACTTGGTGAGTGCCGGCACGGGCGCAACACGCATGAGGTGCGAGAGGGTTGAGGCTGGAGGCGGGGTGCGGGACAAGGCCAACGATGAGTTGATCGCGTAGGATGAATGGGACACATGCGAGTAGGATCCTGAGGACGATAAGGCACTTGAGTACCATTGCAGCGTTCCCATAGCAGGGCACTAACATGTGGGACCCAAGTAGGTCCTACTCACCACATCAGCCAAAACCGACCACTATACTGCCAAGAGACCCAAAAATGACATGGTATTGTAAGACTTGGAAGATGGGCTATACCTAGTATTTTGGTTTAGTAACGAATTTCAAACTACATATTGAGGGACCTAAAGTGAACTTATTCCATACAAGAAATGCATGCATTGTCTTGGATGGAGCCCAAAAGTTTCGACAAATAACATCATGAAGTTTTTCATCAATTGTTCTAAAAACCTATTGCATTGACCACACCGCACGCCACGCATGATGATCAGGAGATCGATGCATTAATCTTATATCATTTGCTTCGCCACGACAGTAATAAATTCTAGGTAAACAAATTAACATTAATTCCGAACATATAGGAAGTAACCGTGTAAATTTTGATACAGATCAAACCGATCGAGAAACATTACATAAATATGACAACCCACAACCACAATAAACATGAAGCTTTGTGTCGATCAATAACAGAGAGAAACATAAAGATACTAAAAATTCAATCCAGTGTTACATAATGCATTATAAAATAATACTTTAAGAGCACTAGAATCTAACCCTGTTCACAACCATAACATAGAGTCACAAGTTACAAGTTTTATGACCCATTAATTTCATCAAAACTAATAATCACTAAATTATATCATCGTCATCTGAATCATCCAAAACTCTATTTGGAAACTCATCATCAGACTCACTCAACCAGAAATAAGGACATGCTGTATCATCACCGATGTACATATAGGGAAACATTGTATCGTTGTCACCTCTATCAAATGCACCTATCACAGGATGTTTCAGGTCATCCATCCCTTGATTCTTGCATGCATTGCAATGACCTTACAAGAAAAAACAGAATATTTATAAAACCAGTGCAAAAGCTTTCATCAAGTTGTCAGTGATCAATATGTAACATAACTGAAAATTTTCATACCGTTTTCATTCGGCTCCAAGGGCCAGCAGAAATAAACTTTCTGTCTGAACATTGTTTTAACCTCAGCAAAATATAACTCCGATGTCCAATCAGTAGAACCTGGGGTCTTAGTCTTCACACTGAAGTTGAAGTGGTGAAAGATATGATTGTAGTTTTTCACATTGAGGCATTGATGACAAAGTTCATCCAATTTGTACTCAATGCCCTAAAACACCAAGTGTTAGTAATAGTTTTATCAATTATGAAATTCAAACTTAATTAAAAAAACACAAAACTGACCAGACCTTAAGATAATCCCTTTCCTCTACATATTTCTCGAATGCCGTCATAACTTCCTCGCCCATCCATTTATTTCCGTTCTGAACTACGTCCACGGAAGCTTCAGAAGTTGGTACTTGTACTGGGACTGATTGAGCTGGTGTTGTAAGCTCAAAAGCTAAAAGAGATGTCTGTTAGGTGGTGTTGCATACTCAAAAAGCTAAAACAAAAGTTTGTTTTTGTGCCAGCATTAATTCACCTTCACCATCATGGTGGTCATCCTCAGTTACTGGAAGCCCAGACAAAGTACGAGGATGAACAGAAAGAACATAATGAATCGCATCTTCAAAGCTGCTAAAGGTATGCGTCTTGCGGTATTCCTCAAGTTCACGTAGTTCATCTGACCTAAATAAAATCACCATATATAGTCACCAAAACACAGTTTGTTCAAATTATATCAAAGCAAACACTGACAAAATCTTGTTACTTTTTTGTTAACAAAACAAAATTTGGTGTGCAGTAGGCATACTACAGTAGACAACAGTGGTTTTGGTTTTAATATTATTCCTACTTAAATAATGAGTAATAGAATTAAAGCCACAAAAGTCTACAGAAAACAAAAACAGTCAAGCTCAACAACGACCAAACACAAGTGAAGCATTCTCAATAGATGCTTACAGTGATGGTGAAGCTTCCTTAAGTCTTGATGGCTCCACAGTTGTAGAATCATGCTCACTCGCAGTCCTAAGTCAGAACAACAATTATAGTCATGCAGTCAATCAATCATCTAATAAGAATAACAGAACAACAAGCATTGGAGTCTTAGGAAAACAACAGACAAACCAACAATGGGACAAAATAAATGATTATATAATAATCATGCAAAAAGAAGACAGGAGCCAGGAGATGCTGACATTGGTGATAAAGTTCTCAGAACAATTTAAACTCATAATTTCAGTTAACATGCATTCTAATCTTCTTGGAAAAAGAAATTACTCTATTAAAGATTAGAAGAAAAAGACTTGGTGAGATTTTTGTGTGTGATTTGGCAAGAATATGTGGAATGATTGATAGAAGCCATCTAGAAAATCACTTGAAAGTTTAAATATAATGAACAAAATCAGCATATTGCTCTCTCAAACGCATTTCATACCATCAAGCAAACCCTCAATTGGTAATGAGTGTTCACAAGACACATAAGCAGCCAATCCATCTAGGAACTTTCAAATGCTCCCTTTAGGAAATAAACACAGATGCAAAACAGGAGCTAACTCAGAAGCATGGAAATAGTGAAGAGTAGGCCCTGGATAACTGGGTTCACAATGGTGGCTTTTGGCAGCAAGGGGCAAGTTCAACACTACTAGATGTAGATGAAGTTTAAGTCCCAAAACGTTAGGTGGTGGCATAAGCAGCAAAAAAGTGGTCTTCCGTGGCGTAAATGTGGAGACGAAAAGACCCAATGTTAGGCAATTACAAAAGCAGAAGTAAAAGCATAGACACTGACTAGTAGAGATATAGCAATGCAAAAGCAACATCATTCTGGAAATTTAGGGTATCTAACCACCATGATCACCCTTGACTCAACTCCTCCAGCAGTCTGGTTAGTCAATTTGGATTACTTATTTAGATGTTCGACTACATTTAATAGGCTGGACACTTGGGCTACACCAAGATAGATCTATTTGGAACTACAAAAATTAGTTATATACTCATATGGATTATTTTTTCACTAAAATAACTCAGATTTCTAACCTTTGATATGTATTGAGATAACTAAAACAAAAAAAGGAAAACAATAATTGTGGAACTTACAGTAAGGTTGGTGGTTGTGTTCCTCCTCGTTCATGTCTAGGTTGCCTTTTACGCTCTGAATAGAGAACACTTTGACGAACATGAGTCTTACTTCCAGCTTCTGCATGCCTAGGTTTTCTGCGTGAAGTGTAAGATTTTGAGGTAAATTTACAAATGCACGCCCATATAGAGAAAGAAAGAGAAATTTGTGTTCTCTGTACATCCCTTTCCTAATAAGAAAGGATTAGTTTCACAGGGCCAACATAATTCTTTCTATTAACATAATAAGGTGAATGTGGCAAAAATGCAGCAGAAATACATCTTTTTATGCCACACATCAGCCAGGTCAGGAAGATACTCACTAGACTACTAAAAACTCCCCTAAAATGTAATCAAAAGCTCATAGCGCCCATAAACCGCCATTAGGCATGAATGCAACAGATAAAATTTGTCCAGTGAGAAATAAGTGTAGAGCGAAATTACCCTAAAAACTAACTTTTCCCCTCCCGTGGCAGGAGAGCATAGCAGAAGTATATATTGTAGTAGATCAATAGCCCGAAAAATTGATTGTTTTACAGAAATAAAATAACTTGAAAACCACCATCATACAGCAGGATTCATCTAATAGGTTTGACATATTAGCTCATTTCTCCCTCTTGTGCATGTGTCGGGTGGATTTCTAACCTTTGATTTGCTTTGAGACAACTAAAACGAAAAAAAGGGAAAAACAACAATAACAAGTGCAGCTTACTGGGAGGTTGATGGCTGTGCTCCTCTTAGTTGATGTCTAGATTGCCTTTTGTGCTCTTTGTAGAGAATACTTTGCTGAATAGCATATCTTCTGCAAAGATTGTAAGATTTTGAGGTAAAATTTTAATTATTAATGCACACACATATAGAGAAAGAGAGGTTGTGTTCTCTGTAAAGGATTACTTTTCACGGTGGCAACATAATGCGTGCTATCAGAGTATCAGTACATAATAAGGTGAAGAAGGCAAAAACACAAAAGAAATTCATTTTTTTATGGCCACGTATTACAACACCTTGCTAGCCAAGTGGAGTCAGAAAAACTCTCAGGGATCACAATTCGCCACTAGATACGAAAGCAACATACAGGAAATTTGTTCCACTAGATAGTTGTGCAGAGCAAAATATTGCCCTAAAAAACTACAGCTTTTCCCCTCCCCTGTGGCAGGCAGAAGGGCACAGCAGAAGTATGCTGTGGTCGATCAAGAGCCGCTAATATTACACAGAAATTGCCCCCCACCCCCCGCGCGCGTGTGTGTGAGCTTGTGTGGGAAGGGAACGAAGAAAGGGGGAAGGACAAAGGGAGGGAGGAGCTCACTTAGATTTTCTGGCAGCTGCTTGTAAGGGGGCCGCTTGTAAGAGGAGGAAATCAGGTCGCAGGGTTATCTTGGCCTCGCCAGGGAATTCAGCTGGTCCTCCGGTAGCAGGGTCGCCGCCGCCGCCCGCATCGCGGTCCATGGCGACGGCGACAGAGTTTGGGGAATTTTAGTTTTTTAGGGTTTGGCTCGTTGGACTTGGAGCCGTCTTGTTGCCTTTCACGTCTCCACAGCTAACTTAGCTTCATGTGCAAAATTCTTCTTTCTTTTTTTTTTCCAGAAGGATTTTTTGAGAAAAAAAAGAACTTAAGTTTCATATTAAGGGTTGGTTTGGTTTGTGGCCTAAATAGGCTTTACCAAATTTTTCCAATGCCAAATTTTAGCATAACTAATTTTGGTAAGGCAAAGTTGTGTTTGGATTGAAGCCAAAATAACCTAAGTTCACTATTGAAATGGCATATTTTCTTAGGCATGCCAAAATTTGGCTTCAAACCAAATAGACACTAAACACTATTGAAATTGTCAAATATTGATAAGTCTAATTTAGGCCTCAAACCAAACCAGCCCTAAGCTTCAAGTTTGACCAAGTTTATAAAAAAATAATATTTTCAACACAAAATAAATTTATTATAAAAATATATTTTATTATTAATTTAATAAAACTAATTTGGTAATGTAAATATTATTATATTTGTCTATAAACTTAAGTTAAACTTAAGGCAGTTTGACTTTAACCATAGTCAAAACATCTTATAACCTAAAACGATGGAAATATTAGTAAAAAATTATCAAGTTTAAATTAGATGAAAAATTCTAGTGCGTTGCACCGGGATAAGGTGGTACAACCGCTATTAGGAACGAGCAATGTGACCACTATTCATTATAATTGTACCTCTCTCCGCTTCTCCCCAGAATTTTTTTTTATCTCTTAAAATTGGTTGAGAATTTTTGATCCACTCGATCTCCTCTTTCAGTTATCCCGAAATAGGAACGAATTAACAAAATTGGGATAAAAAGGTCGGTAGGTCATAATTGGCAATTGAGATTAAATCTAGACTAGATATTTAAAGACGAAATGAAAGGGGAAATCGTGAGAAAAATGAGGAGTGGAGAATCGACACAAAAAAAAAACGAAATGACTTGTTCATGACAAAAAAAAAAAGATCATTTAGGAATGGTAAGAATCAACACAATTATATATTATGTAGTATTAATCTACCCCCACCCCAAAAAACCCCCAAAAAAAGGACTGATCGAACTGGCTGGCACACTCATATCTTCATCTGATATAGGTGGGTCAATGAACGTCTCAAAACTCTCCTAGTGCCATCAAATCCAAACCTCTTGCCTTCGCTGTTCTGGATGACGACATGTCGGCGCACGACGTTGTTGCTTGTGCCCTCGCCGCGGTCCATCATTCTCTTGCCGTGTCCAATGACCATCACTGCATGAGCAGCTGGAAGGTTGGACCTGGAGTGGACATATGGCTTGCTCTTATCATACCAGTAGACTTCTCCAGGCTTGAGATAGAAGTAGTTGTAGGACAAGCGGAAACAGCCGACCATGACATTTCCATCCTCAATAGATCTTAGATTTTCTGGCTCAGCGGCATCCACACGGTTGTGTGCCGAGATTCTGAACAGGGCCTCCTGTAAGAAGAAGAAATAATCAATGATTTTTGGTGAGCCTCCTCATACATGTAGCTGTAAACTTAATTTTGATATGAACAGGCAGTCACTTCATGAGATGCAATATTTTCCTCTCCCAAAATCAAAATATCAGACTTCAAAGGCCCGGTTTAAATCTATTTCAAAATTCAAAAATTCCTTTTTTAGAATCCTTCCCAAAAATTTCTCAAAAGATTCCCTCTGGAGCCAATATGTACCATATAGGTAGACAAGCCACCCCAGCATGTATCCCAGCTGCACGGCCTGACCTATTGTTAATTTTTCAAAGCACTGCCCATCACAAATAGCACCACTTTGAACAACTCAACTCCCAAGAAATGGATTTAAAATGCAACCAGTATTTGCACTACAGTAACACTGAGGTCATCTAGCACTTATAGTAGCTGGTGCGAAAGAAAAAAAGGGAGATCCAGATAGGTCTATATATATACTCCCTCCGTACTCGTAAAGGAAGTCGTTTAGGACAGCGACACGGTCTCCAAAACACAACTTTGACTTCTTTTTTCTATAAAAATATTTATTGAAAAGTGATATATGTATACTTTTATGAAAGTATTTTTCAAGACAAATCTATTCATATAATTTTTATATTTCCAAACTCAACAATTTTAGAGTTATTCATGATTTATATTCCCAAGGTTTGACTTAAACATTGTCATAAACGACTTCCTTTATGAGTATGGAGGGAATAGCTAGGAAGGCCTTGCAATTAGCCAGTGACGAAAGACCGAGAGGTCAACAAGAAAATGCATGAAGTCCATCTAGAGAGTAGAGAGAAAACCTGGATATGGTGCAAACAAACACACACGCTGCATATGATGACTACTTTCCAGAGGGTAGAGACTTATCATTACCAGATGATACATGCATGGAAATATTGGTATATGCTTTGCAAGCCATTAATTAAACCCATCCAGACGACCAGATCGATGAACAATGAGTCAGATTGATGCTAAAGTAACTAAAAGTACCTCAGAGTTGACTTCATTACTGCCGATAACACCATGAACTTTTAATATATCCAATGCAGATTCCAATCTGTGCTTGCCCCTCTTGTTTTTTTCCTCTGATCCAAATTCTGTAGATTCATGATGCTCATATTGACTCTTTAAATTATCCACAGATAGGTTCCACTGAAAATCCTGTGGAGGATCCAGGCATGCATACTGAAATTTATTTAATGATTCAAGAGCCCCCAAACTTGCTTGGAATGTGCAAGTATCTACATGTAAACAAGAAAATTTGGAACTTATTTATCTGGGATTGATTTAGCACATGGAAATAGCGTATTTAACAGATTAAATTATACATCATTGTAGTACCTGCAGCACCTTTTTGGTCTCGAAGACGTGCCAAAATGTATTTAGTGTTATGTGGTCTTCCTACCCATGTAAATTCATGAGCTGGCTACAAAAGTTGAGACCCATCTTTTTTTATCAAAATATAATGGAAACATAATAACAAATATACTGAAAGCAGCCATATATCTAGAATTATCCATAAAACAGGGGGTTTTTTTTATAACTTGAGGGGTTCCTACGATCTTTTCTTAAGAAATATAATTAGATTGTTTTGTCTGGACTGGTTTAGAAGCTTAGATAGTTGAGCACAATAAGCTCAAAAACTGACCAATTTTGCAAACGCACTTCCAAAGACACAGCTTTGGCCAGGGAGAAAGACAAAAACAAAAAAAGCATTGCCTGAAAGGGATGAAAGGCACTTAATTTACTAGTGATTCTAAACTATGGATGTGCTTCACCTTCAAAATTTCAAGATTGTGCTACATACATGGCTGTTGATCCTAATACAACAGTACTAATGTATTATTCAAGATGTTATATTTTCATAGAAACAACTCGGTTGTTTGGATTGGATCCTTTCCAGAATACCAAAGGACCAACATTCCTGCATGATTCCTGTCCAAATGGCTAGCATGTACCCCAAACTAGAGCCAAGTTCTATTAAATTTTTCAGCGACTGTTCATGACATTTGAAGTACAGCATTGACGCGTTTCTCCCCCTTTTCTCCATGAAAAATGCAGGAACACTTGCTGTTTCTATTTCCCATTTCATTTGAGAAAATTAGAAGTTACTGATATAAAAGGACTCTAGCATCATGGATAATTAAGAGAACATAGCATCATGTCTTTGATTTGGAAACTTACCAAATCTTTGTTTGGAGTTGTTGACTGAGTAGAAACAAGACCGTCCTGATCTGTTGTTTCTGACAGTGGCTCCATATCCATAGTTAGACTTTTGCTGTCCAATACCACAACACAATTTTGTTGCATAGAATGGTGAATTAGGCTTTTCCAAGTCCCAGGAATTTGCAATAAAATGTCAGCTTGACCTATGATCCATAGACAGTGTCTGGAGAAATAAACCATTCATTAGTACATACTTTTACTGGTAGTAAAAATCCAGAATCAAGTGCTGACCACGATTCCAGAGCATACCTTGATTTAGTAAGGGCCACATTAATTCTGTTATCCGTAGGAAGCTCAGATTTATCATCAAAAAGTGATGATAGAATGATCACATCATACCAATCTTCATGCATATTTTCTAGTGAATTGACTTCTAGATTGACTCTGTCATGGTTCTGATATTTTCTACCCAATTGAGTTATAATTGCATTGACTTGATTGCTACAGAAACAAACAATCCCCACATTGAGCCTTCCTGCGGCATTTGTTAGTCCTGTAATAGAATAACAAACTGCTGTATAAAATCTGTACACATATATATAAACATCTGGTTCATTTGCATTCTTTTTTAATAGAAGCTAGCATAAATGTTCTTTTTTCAATTAAAGAAAGTATTGTTTGAACAGAACAAATACAATATACCTTCACAGAGTTTCTGAAGCAAGAATAGAACTACTGCTGCCTCCATAGACTTTTTTCCCATGCAGCTGAAATCCTCCATATCAACAACGTCAAAGAATGTGTAAGCAGGGAACTGAAGGTTTATGGACTCGACACTCTGGCCATCCACGATCTTATCCTTGTAGAAATGTTCACTTGGGAATTGACGAATAAGAGGATGCATCATATATTGCTTGATGAGCTTATGCCTTGTAAATGATAAGTGCAGCAACCGTTGAAAAAGGCTTCTGGTACAGCCAGCCTCTTTGCAGCCCTGGCAATTCATGAAGGGATTCAAATGTGGAAAAGCAACCCATTTTCACTTGAAAAATTCAGAGTTGTATAAATGCTCGAAGTAAATAAGTAAGAACAAAATACCAGCACCACTACTCTAGTACATGTGCCAGCAAAGACAAAATGCCGAACAGTCCTTGCTTTATCAAATATATAGTCATTTGGATGAGGAAACATAACATTGCTTTGCATAACTCATACAAGTGAATATGCAAGAAGAGAGCATTACTTAATATAAATGTCTAGTTGCAACTACGATATCTATTCATTAAAGATAATATTGATTTGAACTACGATACTGTTTGAAGACAAGGTTTACCTCGGTTTTCACTATAGGTTGTAAATGTTGATGGTCTCCTAACAGCACAACGTGCCTTGGTGGAATGGACAGAGGAACTAACAAATCATTCTCCTTTATTTGCGCAGCCTTGTCAACTATCAAGACATCAACTTGGTCCATCTTCAGACTTTGTAGTCGAGCGAAACAACCAGGAGTAGAGATTATGATATGGGAGTGTCTAATGCAAAAATCCTCAAGATCACTCCAACCCTCTAGTTGAGGTAATTCGATTGAGCTTAGCACAGTTTCTGTCAACGCAAGGCAAGTTCTTCTTATTTGATCCAATGACTTTGCAGTGCAACAATCCTCGAAATCATAATCAACTGCAATTGTTATCCCAAATGCTCTTTTCACTGAATAATCACTTATCTCACTCTTTTGCATAAGATTTTCAAACTGTGACAAGGCAATCAGCAGATTATTTACATTCGTAACATCAAGATCAGATAATGATGTTGCCGAAAGACTCTTGATCAGGCAAGTTGAACACTTCCTCAGTTCCACAGCAGTATTTCCAAATTTCTTCTTAAAAGACATCAAAGAGAATTCAATTGGCTCACATTTGTTGCAGGTGAGATCTTCATCGTGATGCACGCATTTTTTGCGACAGTACATATCCAATCCCAAAAGGGCAGCCATCTCCTTCACCCAAGCTTTCCATACAAACAGGGCAACATAAAGCTCTGATGCTCTATTTGCTAAAGTGGTTTCAGAGATTATATTGCACATATCCTTGTCAAGTAAATTATTGAGAACAAGAGCTTTCCCAATATTGAAGGAGGGGTAATTTTCTTGTAAACTCTTAAGAAATATATGAATATCTCTTTTCAATGGAACACATACTAATATTCTTAATCTCAAATTCAGCATACAAATAGCTAAACCAGCAGCTAATCGGGTCTTTCCCGTACCTGGAGGCCCCCATACAAGATCAACTGAATGGTTGTGGTGACAACCTGCTTTCGACATAATGCATGTCATTGCACATTGCTGCTCTTCGTTGTATTTGTCGAGATAACTGGAATCTTCAATTCCAAATGCACATAACTCAGCACATGCGCATGTTTTTTTGCACTGCAAACAAAAATTTCAAAAATATATCAGTGTTAAAGCAAACAACAATGATACTTCAGGAAGAGAACAATTTACTATCTTTTTACCTTCTCATTGCGTCTTATAATGGAATTGATAATACCACATCTGCCAGATGACATTGTGACCATTGCCTTTGATATGTTCAAATTATCCACAATGTTAGTAAGAAAACAAATATATCTGATTGATTCTAAATCAGTTTTTTTCTGATTTTCTGAAACTAACATCTTGAAGCTTCTTTGAAACTGATTATCACAGCCAACATCTGTGGCAATACCAAAACAACCTGATAACTGACCCCTTAATGGTTGACTACTGAGAAAAAACAGATCCCCATCTTTCACAACATGCTGACAGTTATCAATTCCATAAAGATCAATATCAATGTAATAGATGGAAGGTGGCCCAGCAAACGACACAACAAAATCACGAAAGCATTGAGTAGTCTCAACTTTCAACAAGCTAGACTTGATGGTTATACGAACTTCTTCCCTTAGCAGATTTGAGTGTACATCCAAATAATGCTGAAGCCCTTTAAACTTGGTTGGTACTTTCTGAACCTAATTCACAGAGACATTTCAAGCTTAAGCAACACAAACATTTACGTTTACATGAGGAACTAAATAACAAGGATTAAGTTAATTGATCAATTGTTGCCATTTAAGAAATGTACAGGGAGCAAACAAAAAAGATTAAGATGAGCTAGCCACGTTTGTGTTATTCAACAGGAAATGTGCAAAGTAAGGTACAATACATGAGCTAAATTCCAATGATAGAAAAGATCTCTCATTCAAAATACATAGGTAAATGTGTACCTCATTATCCAATAATATATCCTGGATTGTCCATGACAAAACAGTTTTTGATAAACCTCCATCAGCGTCATCTCGACTACTGTCGTCAATGTCAACCCCAGTTGCCTTGTTACGCCACCGAGCATCTCCAAAAGCAGGACCTTTCTCCTCTATGTCCAGCTGCAATGCAATATCCCTCATTCAGTGCCTCAAAATCAAGCTCCCAAAATCAGCGGAATAAAAGTTCACCTTGGTGGTCGTCGCGGCGCGTGGCGAGCTCTGCGCCGTCGCCGTCTGCCCCGTCGCTGACCCACCCGGCGCGCTCTGCGCCGTCGAAGGCACCGGGCCCACCGTCCTCACTCCTGGACCTCGTGGCGAGCCCTGCGGCACAGTCTCCGCCGTCGCTGGTGCGCGCGGCGCGCCCTGCACCGACGTCGCTGCCGCTGGTGGCGCGCCCTCCCTCTGCGCTGTCGCCGCCCCGCCTGGCGCGCTTCCTCCTCCTCCCGAGACGGGCCCTCCTCCTACTCCGCCTTGGCCACCCGCCGCGGTCGGCGGCGGCGGCGACGCGGCGCGTGATGCTGGGCTCCCACCATCGGCGCCGCCGCCACCGGCCGCTTCTCCGGCGACGACGTGGCTCCGCGCCCCCCCGTCCGCGTCGTCTGCGTCCACGACGACGGAGGGCTCCTCGTCCCGCGCCGCGGCACCCACTTGCGTTTTCCCCTTCCGCCGCCGTTTCGGGCCCATCCCGGACCGTCCGCGGCGGGCGACGGCGCAGCGGCCGCCGGGACCTCTGCTGCTTGGCGGCGAGGGTGCGGACGACGACGACCTAGCTCGTGGGAGGAGGCGGCCGCAGCCAAGCGCAGCTTGAGAGAAGGACTCGAGAAATGCGGAGCAGCGAGCGAGCTCACGTGCTCTCCTCTCCGACATACTTATGTTTTGTTTTGCACCCCCTAAACAAAGCACTAATTAATCATCCAACTAATAAAGCAAAAGCTTATTTGTACACACGACCATATTTTCTTCTCCATTAGAAAACACTAATTGCTTGATCTCCAAGCCTAAGGCCTCATTCAGGATGGACAAGTTTTTTAGGAAATGAATTGTTTTCCAGTGAAAAATCAATTTATTATCGTGTCAAATTAATTCTTGTGTTCCAAACATAATCCTAAATACATGGTTAGTTTGCTTTCTTCTAGAGCCAAAACATTGTCTGTGCAAAAAAAAAATGAAGACCAAAGAACAGTTTAATTGTCAAAATTAATTTTAAATATAATTCCCTATGCATTTTCCATACCAACTCAAATGCCGCGCAAATTGTTTTGCGAAATTTCATTACAATAAAATCACTTCCGCTGTAGAATTGTCCAGAACGTAGAACTTCCCCCCATTCTAATGTAATTTAATTCATTTCTGTAAAAATAAAAAAAAATTGCAATACAAAAGGAAATTTTTGTATGAGTTTCCATGAAAACAATATATTCACAGTGACAGATCACACCGTCTACTTGATTGCTTATTAGCCACAACCAAAATTTAAATTTTGGACTTACATTTAGGTTATTTTGGGGGTGTTTTCTTGCAGTCTATTTTCCGGATTTAACTTTTAAACTATTAATAATATAAAACAAAACTTTTACCTGTAGCATTTTTTGTTGCTTCATTAATTTTTTGAGGAAATTTCACAAACCCTAAGTTGTGGGGCATTCATAAAGTAAACCCCGGAGTTTTGCAATTTGTTTAATAAAACCTTAGGTTTTGAGGCAAAGCATTTCATGAAACCAAAGTTACAAGCATATGTCCTCTATATGACTAATATATTTATCTATAATAGTTGTAAAAATTATATGAGATACTTTTTAGTACAGATTCACGTTAGTTGCTTTTCGACAATCAGTGATTATCGTGGTCTGATCAAATAATTATTTCATTATTAGTTAGGATGGATTATGTTGAGTTTTTTGTGCAATGAGAAATTGAGAAAAAAATAAAGTAGGAAGGTGTACTTGGAGTCAATTAATGTGAACTAATCAATAAATAATCAGATATAATAATGAAATATGAGTACTTCACATAAATATGGGGATTTTTGAAACATTTTGCCTCAAAATATAGGGTTCATTGAAATAAAATCATTTTGTGGTATGAGTGCCCCAATGGTTAGGGTTTCGTGAAATTTACTCTTAATTTTTCTATGGCTAATCAATCATTGCCCAACCGATAGCTATCCTAAATTGTCACAGATACAATTGGAAATAGGGGGAATTTGATCCATGCCATTACAAATTTGTTGTTTTAGAAAAATGCCATTACCACATATCAAACTGGCTTAGTTCCACTGATGTTTAGTAAAATTTGAATCACGCCACTATGTACACCTGGGACATGCTTGGAAAAGTTTTTTTTTAGCGCTTATCTTCTTCTTCCCCAGCCTATCTTCTTCCTCTAGCGAAGAGGACACATGGATCGGGGGCTTGGAAATGGGGCTGGATGGTTTAATTTCCCCCTCTCTCTTGACGCCGATGGACCCCTCCTTTGACGAATAATCGGCCTTGGCTAGGGAGCAAATCGATGACCTCGTGCATCTCCATCAATCTCCTCACTAGCGTCGTCGAGCTCTGATTGGGGAGCAAATAAGCAACCTCACGGGCGTCGTCGAGATGCTCCTCACCAACCTATCATAGTCTTAGGCATGCACGCACACTACAACAAAAACCTCATATAGAGGCACTTTTGTAGAGACGTTTTGCAAATTGCTTCTAAAATCAGAAGTTTTATAGTGTAGAGACACTTTATAGAGGCACTTTAAAAATTGCCTAGAAAACTTTTACTCTAGAGACATTTTTAGATCAGTTTGTTAGATTTTATCTCGTAGAGGCATTCTTTCGGCACTATAAAATGCGTCTAATATGTAAAGGCATTTCGTTGAGACATTTTAAACTATGTAGAGACACTTTTTAGAATGATAATATGTACTAAAGGACTAAATATAAGTAACTAGAGGAACAAGCATATAAGTAATGACATGGAGTTGAGTTGGTTAGTGTATTGAAGATTGAAATGATTTAATCAAGAGATCATGAGTTCAAGACTTGTCAAAACCAAGGAAACTATTTTATTATCTTTTTTCGATTGGTTTTATATGTTTGCGGTACAATTTAATGTCTCTAGAAAATACCTCTACCATCTTATAGACATTTTATAAAATGTCTCTTCGTTTGTAGAGACAATTCACCATAAGACACTTATTAGACATTTTTTAAAATGCCTCTACATTGTTGTAAAGTCATTTGATAAGTGCCTCTACAGTACTAGAAAAATGTCTCTACAAAGCATTTTTGTTGTAGTGGCACCCATAGACAACCGGTCAGGATGAAGCCGCCAGCAAAAGCCAATCTCCCCAAGCTAACTCCCAACTCCCGCCAGCGAGCCCAAGCTGCCCATTGCTGACCTCACGGGCGTCGCGGACAAGGAGATATCTCATATATATATATATATATATATATATATATAACTGAAGAGCTCGTCGATGAGGGGGGGAAGGAGACACCGACAACATCCATTAATTAGAGTAAGGGGAAATTTCCATCATCTCAGCCGCCGCAGTCTGCCATCATCCTCATTGTCATGGCCGTGGCACTTGCGAGACCGGTAGCCTAGCAAGCGAGGAGAGGGCCTAACGGGGCACCGACCGCCGGGCTTTTAGCATCGACAACCTCTCTCTCTTTCTCTACTATCACCATTGACTACTGGCTACCAGCCTCAACGACCTCTCTCTCTCTCTCTCCAACCTCACCGCGCAAGAGGAGAAAGGGAAGTACAAGAAGAAGATAGGTGGATGGCTGCAGGTGGTATTTTCAGCCATAATACATAAGAATGACTTAAAACATGTCTTAGATGTATACCATGGCATGGTTTAATAGTAATTTCATTACTGTAATACGGAAATTTGTAATGGTATGGGTCAAATTAAGCCTTAGAAAATATGGGGCATTAGGTTTTTCCAAATTTTCATTTAGATTTACTAGAAAAAAACCCTGTAATTAAAATTCAACTGATCTCGGCTTTATATATTATTCATTGAAATCTCTGGTGTTTGGCCTGGAACAGACCTTTCCGGAGTATTCCTTTATCTACATATATAGAGATACGGAGTATATTTTAGATGATGGATATATAGAGACATATATATGTCATACTATTATATTTAAAAAGGATGTCTTCAAGAGAAAACATGCTAATAAAATATACTGTTTTTATATATGAAATCAACTTAACACTACTTTGCGAAATATAAATATAAATATATTGATAACTTTTAATTATCAATCAAAATAGATTGTCTTCTTTTGCGTGCAGTGAGTACACGTAGCCGGTCGGTAACCCGCTTGTCAGAGGCTCGTTGACAAGAGCAACGGATCGATTTGACGCGGTTCAAAACGGGAGACATGAAGCTAGGAGAATCGTCTCGGCTGCAGAAGACGAGTAGTTCTACTACCGTGGCTACAGTTGGACTGGTCGATATGCTGACTCGTGCGTAGCTAGATTAGTAGTTTATTTCCAAGAAAAAAATAATTCCTAATCCAAATTAGAGTAGAATTACTCCAGTAATTTTTAAGATATTTTGTGCCTGTGCATTTTTCTGTTTTAATTTGTATCCGAAGTGAAAAGTAGAGGAGGGTCTGGTTCCAAAAAAAATACACACAGTACCCTAGGAACAAGTGATCGATGATTCCCAAGATGGATTCTGCAATCTCCATCTTTCGGGCTGCAGCATCACGTACAGTACCCTAGGATGTCTGTACGCTACACACTACTACACAACACTACTCCTAGGAGCATAGGCAGGCAGCTCACCTGCTCGATCAAGCCAGCACAGTGGAGTACCCCTCCGTAAAAAAAAAGACAATCTAGTGGTGGTAATTTGATACCACCTAGGACAACAAATCCAGATAACCTTATATCCAGATTCGTTGTCTCAGATGAGGTCAAATCCCCACTAATTTTTTTTTGGACGGAGGGATTAGCTAGCAGTAGCATAGAAAAATGTCAAATGTCTGAACGGGCGCATCTATTGTGCCGGCATGTTCTTTCCAGCTATTTGCTATACTCTCTTCCTCCCATTTCCCATTTTAAAGTTTTCGTGTTAAATGTTTTATTTAAAAAATTAAAAAATATTAGTCATATATAAAGTACTATTTATTTTTTATTATCTAATAATAATAAAATATGACTAATCATAAAAATATTTTAAATAAGACAGATAATCAAAGTTGGATTCAGAAACTCATAACTGCATTTAAAATATGAAGAATAGAGTACCTTTGTAGAGTTGCTAAAGAGGGATATTAAAAAGTGTGTATAATTAAATTGAATGAAAGAAGTTGTGATTGATTGGGAAAACAAGCTGGTGGAGAATTTGAATGGTTAAAAACTTGCACATATATGTTTTTTTAAGTTTATAATAATTAATATTAAATTAGTTGTATGGTAGATGAATGTCTAATTCTGTAAGCTAAGAAGCTAATTGTTCCAACCTCCTAATTTGTCGTCCTGATCCTTGATCCTCTCTTCGATCCATCCGTCCACCTCATCAGCATTTTTAATTTGTTGCTACCAAAAAGACAGACAGACTAATAATAATTAGGAATACATGAAATACAGCTTGTTAATTTCTGCAAAGGAAAATTTAATTTGTCCTCACTGATACCAAAATTTTGAGTTTTTCTTTTCAAGATCCAGCTAGCAATGCCGGCATTATATATTGTACTATAGAAAAAAGAGTACAAATAGTACAAAATAATCTCTCTATTCCTTTTTGCGTCGCCCGGGCGGCTGGTTCAAAAGTTAATTGAAGCTAGCTCCTCGATCCATAACTCGATTGTATTAACCATCTGAACTCTGGAGAAGTAAGGGTTCTTAACCCTGGAATTGTAGTTGCATGCATACAAGTAATGGACCAGACGTTGATCCGCGCATCCATTATCCATCGTTCGATCGATGAGAACTCTACTGGATGAATTGATACAGGCTGCTGGGTAAGGATAGTTTTTTTTCCGGACAAAATTGCCCTTGCTAATGACGTTTACCTAGGCCCTGTTTGGAAGATTAGCCCAGGGCTAATACTGAGAGCTAATATTTAGTCATAAATTGGTAGGCTAAACATTAGCCTAGAGTGGTATGTTTGGATCTATGGGCTAATTCAAGGCTAAAAGGTGGAGAGAGATAGTAAAAAGAGAGGAGAGAGAGAGGGAGAGAGAGAGAGAGAGCTGTTTTTTGATGGTCCCCACCCAAAATTAACCCTATTAGCACCTCTTAAAGGGGCTAATGTTTTGAGGGGGCTAATTCACTTTAGCCTTAAATTAGCCCACCTGTTTGGATTCTTAAGGACTAATTCAGAGCTAAAAGGTGTGGGCTAATAATTAGCCCATAGAACCAAACGGGGCCTAGTTAATTGCCTTTTAATCCGGACTATTAATTGATGTGCTTTAGTTTTCGTGCAGTTTTTTTATTTTAAACAAATTAATCATCGATGATATAATTTTTTTTTTGCGGGAATGATGTATTTTTTTTCTTACTGGGGTTACTGTATACGACACCATGCACGTTGCGATGGGACATTGACTTGTAGAGCGCATTTGTGAAATTGTAATATATGGATATATGAGAAATTATTAATCTAACATAAATAAAACCTATACTGTATATATGAAGGCTACAAAAATACTAATCTGAACTATTAAAACACGATCTAACGTGTTAATAATATGTCATGATATGGCTTCTTGGGGTGAATAGTAATAACCGTACTAAATAGATTTCAGTTATATTAATTAAGTGGGTCTTAATTATCTAAGAGAGGTACGTACATATACTAACAGTGAAGAGTTGATGAGAGATTTGATAATTTGGCACTCTGTAAATTAAGTGGGCTTCGATTATTTACACGAATCATTTTCATAATGTGTCAATTAAATAAATTGGCAACAAATAAGTGTACGTCAAATTATCAGGAGGTTACGTAGTTTTCTGTTCACATCCAAATCACACGTACGGATAATCCACAAAATTGTACTGTGTTGAAGAAGGAAACTTGTGTAAGGTAGAAATTACAACTTTACAAGTTATGCGCATTAAAAATTAATAATCTTGTGACTTGGGGGGTCTGTTTGTAAGGAAAGAACCCTCATGCAATACCTACTTTTTGCTGAGGACATATTGGGAAAATGGGCTCATGCATGCATGCTCATTTATGGACGTAACGTGTCCAACTTAGCTTGATCTCTGTATTTTTTAACTTTTTTCCTGGCAACAATTAATTATCTTATCGAAGTAATTATAATTATCAGCTGCAACAAAAGTGTCACTCAGTTGAGGTTATTCTAATCAATTGAAAAAAAACTGTAATTATTTGTCTCAGGGCGCAACAGACCTTTTATTTAATTTGCTAATGTACGTACGTCATGCAAAATATAAGCTAGTGATTTATGTTTATTTTTTTCCTGAAATCTTATAAAAGCATTTCCATGTCCATGTGCATATCACAGTAGTTACGAAAATTAGTAATCCGTCGATCTTATTGTCACAAATATTTGATGTTTAGGATAAAATATTTAATTAGAAAAAGTTTCAAAACTCTAACTTCTGGAGGTATATATGTATGCACCTATAATTTTTTTTATCTGCAAAAGGAGTGGTACAATTTTAATTTAACCATAACATATATAATGTGCAACACTGACACATGTGTGCTTGTTGGTTACTTTGGATGTGAATTACTTCTATGAATAATGAGGATGGATTTGAGAGTACGTGGATATGGAATTGATGTGTTATAACTTGAGTAATGTGGAGATGAATTGCATTTATGTAGTTTGGAGATTAATATTTGAATGTGGAGTTGAATTGCATTTCTGTGAGATGAATTGCATTTTATGTGAAATGATCTATGATTTTTGTGGTTATAGACACTGTATATGCGTGATATGATGTGGATGGACATTCTGTAAACCGGCCTTTTTTTTACAGGATTATAGGTGCAGGTTATAATATAGAAACCGACACCTTTTTAGCTTAAAGGTGCCGGCTAGAAACACAAAACTGGTACCTATGTGGTATTATAGGTGCCGGATTTGGTAAAGAACCGGCACCTATGGGCCTAGATTGCAGCTGGTGGCTTCCAAAATGGATATGACTCTAGCAGAACAATATGTGACGCATATCCTTTTATTATCCGGTTTCCAAATAGGGAAAACTCAATTCATCCCTTAAGAGGATATCCCTCATTTTTGCATGTCACTTAAAATGTCATCAAAAGATTTTTTTAAAAAAAAATAATAGGATAGATTAATGTATATGATACGTCACTTCACAAACATGCAAATTTAAATTCAACTTATATAAGTAGAAACAAAAATAACAAATTTAACTGAATAGAACGTGTAATTCACGGTCAAATTTGTATTTTTTTTGTTTCGAATTGTATAAGCCGAATTTTAACTCGCATGCTTGCGAAAAGATATATCATATATTGATATATCTTGATAAATTTTTTAATAACTTTTTGAAAGACATGTCCTCTCGAGGGACCGAAAAAAATCCACTTCCTCTCAGATAGTCACTTTTTATGGTGGAAAGTTGGTCAATGTTCCATATGTAAAGTCAACGCACGTCCCCAAATAATTTGGAGATCATAAGCTGCCAAAATCAACTATATGTTTCATGATATTGCTACACAGAATGAGTTGGGGCAAAAGGAGGGGAAATTAAGCTTGATCAATAGTACTATACGTAGGTACGCCGGACTACGTCTCCGACTCGTAAGTTTATGTCCTGCAAACAGATTAATAATTAAGAAGGAAGGCGTTAATGTAACTCAGCGCTAGGTAATTAACGTCAGGCGCCGCCGACAGCATCGCTCTTCGATCTCTCTAAAGTCGTCGAAGCGGCCAGCGATCATGGAGCCGATGCCGCCTCCACCACCTCAGTCAACCCATCATCGCCGGTAATTAATTAAGTAAATATTCCATGTTTAATCCTAGATTCGGATGGCCAATTTATGTTAATAATAATAACAACAAATATGATGTCTCTATGTGTAATGGTAGATACTCTCATGCTATATTTTTTTTACTACGTTTTAGACAATGTAACGGTTCCAAAACATATCTTTAGATATGATCTTCTATACCAAAATATATAAAAATGGCAAATATTTAAAGTATTTTTAGACTAATCTAGCTACTCAATCTATATATTGTGTTTTTAAATATTTTATAAGTTACTCCCTCCCTCCGTTTCAGGTTATAAGACATTTTAACTTTGATCAAAGTCAAACTGCTTTAAGTTTGATTAAGTTTATAGAAAAAAATAACAATATTTTCAACTAAAGACAAATTTATTATGAAAATATATTCAATTATTGATTTGATGAAACTAATTTAGTATGATAAATGTTACTACTTTTTTCCTATAAACTTAGTTAAACTTGAAATAGATTGAATTTGACCAAAATCAAAACGTCTTATAACTTGAAACAGAGGGAGTAATTGATAGTAGAAGTTTTAATTATTTGAATCTAACCTTATCTTAAAACGTCAATGTCACAAATTATATATAGAAATGGTGGTTATACCTGTCAAGATTAATTTTGCTTTCGGTAGCTAAAGGTAGAACGTCAGTTGTGTTTTAAGATCTATACTTCAACCTTAGTTTGAAGGAAACTGAATTGGCAAAAAGGATTGATGGCCTGAGTTATATAGTCAAATTGATAGGGCAGGGGAAGCATCGATCGGTGATGTGATAGTGGAGGTTCATTGCTCCATCCGCCAGAATTTAGATTCTGGTACGGCTACCAGTAGAAATTTAATGAGATTAAGGATGCCCTGTTGTTTTGTTTTTTTTAGGCTTTGAGCATTAGAGAACATATTCGTTCGTGTGAGTGTGATGTTATATGTGTATGGTGTGTATGGTGTGCCTATGCACCATATAATTAATAAAGAAAAAGAAATTACCATAGCAGATAGACTAAAGCACTTGCCAAAGGGCCATCGTTTCCTCTATTCAGCATCAGCATCAGTTGCTGTTAAAGTTTAAACATTAAAACTTAATTTTGAAGTTTTTTTTATCAAAAATCATTTTTCGGCATTAGCATTTAAGTTGCTAAAAACTTATATACAAAAGTTTTACCTACAAATTACTATTATTTTGCTAATACACTGTATGGCGTATTATCTGTATTTGGTCAGATGATGAGGCCAAAATCATCCAATATCAAACAAAAAGCAATGCAATTTTACACAAGAGCGCATGACATGTCGATCCGACCTACTCTTGTCTTAATATGTAGCAAATTAAAATAAATCGACATATCTTATATTGACCTACTATCTTATTCTGTCAAAAAAAGCAACATAGAGTATGTAGCAACTAACAATGAATCGATATACCTTATATTCAGATTTCGGTAGTCTGTTCTGTTCTTCCAACTGTCTTCTCTCATTCTCCGCGCGGACGCTTTTCAAACTGCTAAACGGTATGTTATTTTTTAAAAGTTTCTATTAAAAGTTACTTTAAAAAATCATATTAATATATTTTTTTAAAAAAATAGCTAGTACTTAATTAATCAAGTGCTAGTGGATGGGTTCCGACCTCCGAACACAGCCGTAATCGTAGACGGGACCAAAAAACCAAACCTGAATCCGGCTGATCCCTAAAACCAAAAATTCCCCCAACAATTTTACTCGCGCGGGGCTCATCGTCGCCATGGACGGCGATGCGGGCGGCCGGGGAGACGTGACCTTCGCCGGTCCCGGCGGCGGCCGTTCCCCTCGCCCCCGTCGACCTGTCCGTCGGGGAACCAGATACCCTGTTTCTTCTTCTTCTTCTTCTTCTTCTTCTTCTTCTTCTTCTTCTTCTTCTTCTTCTTCTTCTTCTTCTTCTTCCCTGGAAGGAGGAGAAGGGTTGGGAGAAGAAGGGCGCAGCGAGGAAGATCGACCTCGTCGGAGGATCATCCGCCTCGTCCGTCCAGGTCTAGCAGCTTGGTGAGCTTAGCTCCTCCCTCCCTCCCTTTCCCCTTTCCAGAGCCACCCCCCACACAAACACAGTACAAAAAGAGCCTAATTCTGGGTAAAAATGTTGAGGATTTACCTACAGGTTGTTTCCGTAGAAATAGCCTAATCGACTCGCCATATGCTCCCTCCTGCTATGCCCTCCCGGCTCCAGCAGCCGTCTTATATATCGATCTTCACCTAATTGCGTTGCAATGTTCAACAAATTTCACATGCATGTTTCTATGCAATTTTTTTTTCTATGCAAAATTTCTTTTTATACTAAAGTCTACTAGGACTCCATGCTTATGTTAAAGCATAGTGGGAGTGTGGCTGCATCATGCTTCTACTCAGAGGATGGGAATTAGATAGTCATCACCAGTCTCCCTCCTTTTGTCCACTGTCTGTCAAACACTCATAGGCAGAATACTGTTTCTAAGTAGTAATGTGCCACCGGAGGGGAAGGTTTTTTAGTTTTCAAAGACAATTTACATCCTCCACAAATATTTCTGAGTTGAACACATCAAATCTTTTGTGGCTAGTGGTGGTTTTTGGGTTCATTACTGTTGTCGAAACGACAACCGCATACGTCGAAAGACGTGGTCACTTAACAGTGGTTGGAAAGAAACGAAATGCATTGGTTTTTTGAAATTTCTCCTTCTTCGATCCCCCATTACATGGCCCTAGGGGACTATTTATAGCCCCATTACAGATTCTTACTACTAGGGTTTAGGTTATACAGGGGAATTTACATGGTTGCCCTTATGAAAGGGACATTTACAGGGATACACAATGTCAAGGGGGCTTGTGGGCCCTTGATGGGCCGTCGGGCGATCGCCGGCCCTATAGCCCCTAGGCTTTATGGGCCGGAAAGGCTTCTTCGGCCCTTGCGGGGGCGAACTAGACATGGCGAAGTCGTCCTTCTTCGGCAGGTATACTTCGTCTTGCACCCTTCGCCTGAGGCGCCTCCGGCTTACTCACGCGACCCTTCGCCTCACACCATTCTTGGTTCGCAACCTTCGCCACAGGTTTCGGCAGATTTGATCGAAGGGCCTCATGCCATCCGCCAACAATTACTGTTTGGAGGTGTTTGAGAGCCAACAAGCTTTTTACAGTCCCCTCCTTGTAAGCAAACCAAGAACCATCTCTAGCCACAGAAAAATTGTAAAACATGACATATATGTATGGTCATTTAAAATTCACCTGAAACTGTAACCTTTGCAGGATCCCCGGATGTGCATCAGCTGATCGTAGGCCTCGTGTTCGGCAAAGTGTACTTTATTCAGACCGCCCCAAACGGTCCCAAGGAATACGAGGACAAGTACAATCAAAAACCAAATCACTGTATGTTTTCAATTAAAAAAAACATCGCTTTTCCTTTTAGTCATTGTTTGAAAATACCTCCATTATGTCCACTCGACATAATTTGTTCAGGGATGAGAAGAATGTAAGCGAGGTGAGTAGTGAGCTTGGCACTACAACTGCAGACATTCCAAAATTCAAGGCACTGATGATAAATGACTCACTCTCTAGGCTTGACTCAACTGAGAGGTATGATCATTTCTCTTTTGCTGATTGACTCTTGGCATTTATTCAACTGATGGGTCATGCCTTTTCTTATTTAAATGCTGGTGTCTTTATTAGAATTCCTAGGTCATCCTTGGATGTGTTCTGCAGAATTCTCAATGTGCACCAAAGGGTTAGAAATCTGAGTTATGTTAGGATAAATCACGGTACATTTTTTTTTTTTTTTTGCAATTCCTCAATCCTTATGAGTATCTTGGTCTAGCTTAATCTAATGAATGCAACCAGACTTGTAAGCAACTAGTCCACTACCAAGCAAAATTGCTAGAGGAGTCAAGTTAAGGGTCACATGGTGGAGAGACAGTATACGGATGGAAAAGATATTTAATTCGTCACTAACTTTTTTAGCAGGGCTCATGAGCCATGACTAACTTCATAAAAGTAGTTGATGGTGATTTCTATCAAATAAACTACTACATAACTAATGATTGAATTAACTAACAGCTGATTGAGTGGTTTTATGGTATGATGTAGGTCCAATGAGTCTACTTATGATGCTGGCACTCCTGGCAGCAACCAAGTGACCTCAAAATTTGTTAAGGACAAGCCCAAAGATGATTCAGATGATGTGTAAGTATGCTTTTACCATTATTTGATTCAAATTATAAGGCCAGATCTCTGTTGCCTGCATCTTAGGTGTGCGTAGAGCTAGTGAGGGTGCTTTCAGATTCGCTGTCCAATTTTCTTCAAGGGGGCAAATGTATGGGGATGCGCTGTTGTTCTCAGTCACTTGTAGCAGATTAAGTCGTTTGAATGCCTCATTTCTAGTCCTAATTTTCTTTCTTATACTTGAAAGGTGATTACAGTTTGTTTCTCTGTCCAATCAAATGAAGGCTCTGAAATTCTATTAAAAAAAAGACTTGCTGCTGCATAAAGTCCAAATGGCATTGATAGTAAACACTGATGATCACTCCTGGCTGTTGCTGTTCACTGACAGTATCTGTAGATTCTTTTTGCACTAGAGAAATGAATTCACTTTGCCTTCATAACCTTTTGATGTATAATTTATTGCTTTCTTTTAACCATATGAGCACACTTTTATTCAGGGAGGAGTGTCTGCGCCAACTACAGGAATACTACTCTAAAGGGCATGTCCATACCAGCATCGAGGATGCTTGGAATGAAGTTGTAGCTTACGAGCATGTTGCTTTAACCGCCCTAGCTCTTGAGTGGGGTATGGAACCACCACCGGATCCCTTCCAGAAGCCGAAGTCTTCACTAGTTGATCAGGAAGCCCAGACACTTCGGGCACCACAGCAGACTTCTGATGCTGCTCAGCATAACATAGTGTCATGCAAGGAGGAACCGTCTCAGCAAATTTTGCCCATTCATCAACCAAGGTAAAGTTCCAATTATTTTTCCTTGATTGGCTTGCTATTGTTAGCATTGTTTATACTCATTGAAGATTTTTCAATTCTTGTTAAATATTCAATACTTTGATAAGAACCACCTTTGAAGTAGATTTTTGAATTTTTCCTTGGAGTAGATTTGAAGTTAACAGATAACCTGATAAGAACCACCTTTCAATGATGGTACACAGCTCATCTTTAGTTCCTTAACCAATCTCTTAAATGCTCTCTCTCTCTCTCTCTCTCTCTCTCTCTCTCTCTCATAAGTTGGAACTTGGAACTGCACTTGGTGTTCTCTTTCTGATTTTCTTATCTGAGGTACTCCTTTAGTGGTTAAGTTACCTTTTTGTAAGTTAACTATCAAACAGTCAAATCCAGTGTTATATACTTAACTGGTCGAAGTAGAGAGTACTCCCATTAGGACCATGTTATTATACAGTTGGAATACCAGCCATTTCACAAGTATATTAATGAAACAAGGTATTGCCACTGCAAACATGATTGTTGAACTTTAGTGGGTAGGTATGTCTGACGAATTAATTATTATCCTGGTGTAAATTGGTTAGTATCCTGGTGTAAATTGGTAATCTTCATATCATGTCATGAGTTTACACAGACCAGACATACCTAGCTAGGAATAAAATCTGTTCAATTTATTTTTAATTCTTATTGAGCAGTATTTTGGTATGCTATCAAAACTTTGTTTCCAATTCTTCATAGACACCTGATCCTGAGCTGCTGGTTTCATTCACTACTAGTAGTTATATTATTGGTAGCATATAAAGAAGCCTGTATTTACAGTACGTAGATACCAAAAGGACACCCTTCTACAAGGTTAATAATAAGAAGCCTCTTTACTTTTAGCATAATCTGTGGAAGAGAGAAAAGGCAGTATTGAACCAGTAACCAATTCAAAGACAACGAAAATTCTAAAAAAGATATGTTTCTCTAATTGATATCAGTTCAACTCTAGGCCAAACTCTCTTTCAGTTCCAGCCTTCCAGGCCATGCATCACTACCAGTTTCTCTTTTATGGTGTTTATTCGTTATAGCATACTAGGTACATTCGAGTTGATCTAGTCCATTACAATATGCAATTGGTCCATTACAATATGCAGTTGGCCTGATCTGATGTGAATTGCAATGAATTATACAGAACACTTATGAAAATGATGAGTACAATGGCATTAAAGGGAAATCTCATCGTGGGTCCTCTTTCCAAAGGGGAAAGTCTCTAATAGTAAATTAAAGCAGTATATGTGGTCAATGATGATTAATTAATGAGCAGCATTTGCACATGCTGAACATGCATGCCAATATACTGAAATGAGCACATGGCCACATGCACATACCCTTTCTGCAAACTATCTCTAAAGCGATATCATGTTCTGGTATAATTTGTAGATACTAAAAGAAGATCTTAAATAGGTTGCTTGAATCTAGTTTCAAGAGTAATGCTACTGAACTCTATAGAAATGTCTTAATATTGATAAACATGACCTAATCTGCAACTGAATTAATTTGTAAATACAGGACCGAGGTTTCTATAGAAGAAATTGTTGAGAGAGGGAAAAAATGGATGGGCGAGGAGGTGATGGTGGCTTTCAAGAAATATATTGAAGGAAAAGCTGATCTTGCGGTTTGTATAACTCTATTGCTCATTATTATTCAAATTTCAAGTATGATTTTACTTTTGTTTTTCTTGAACACAACTATGGTTTTACTTACTGAGTGTTCTCTTTTAGGGACATCAATATCACCTTGAACTTTGCCACCAGTGTTTCCATGTGGAAAGCTATTTCCAAAATTTCCACCATTATAATTTTAATGTCAAGATAAAAAAGCATGATTCAGATGAGTGGTCTGAGTCAATGTATTTTGCTGAAGTAAAGATGATATTCAGGAGAAAATATTACTTCTGCTGTCCCTTGGAACCACGTGAGAATGGTATTGTTTCTTGTCAAAAGGAATTAAATATTAGAACATGTAACAATATACGAAGTTCTCTCATGCAATTTGTCTGGGTTATGTTTTTTTTTTTTTTCTATCAGGTCACTGTTATGCATGCAGAAACCAAGGAATGGATGACCTGAGGCTGAGGCATCCAGCTACAGGTGGATTTGAGATGGGCTCACCTGACACTGTATTTCCTTACATGTATACCAGTGACTGAGCTCGTGTTACCCAAAAAAGATGTGTATATGGATGATGGTTTGGAGTAATCACTTAGATTATCATGATATGTTGGATGCTGACATAGTTTGTTTTCAGCAGCACTATTTCGCTCACAACACTTGTTGTAGTACTGAAGTCTAAAATATTGTGCAACTCGTTTGTCTGACAGTATTGTGATGAAATTGGTATGCATGGTTGAACATCCAATCTTCTCCTTCAGGTGCGAACGCTTGCCATGGGTGCTTGGTACTGCACGTGCACACGTGGATTCTTTTAGAAATAATACTAATAACTTTTAATGAAAAATTATGAAAATATAGCATTGTTAGCTGAAATCTTAAATTTAGCATTCTATCGAACAATTAAAATTCTAACGGGTGTTGATCGATTTTATTTCAGTGCTTTATGATGCATGTACGGAACAGAGTAAATATCTCATCTCATGTGACAGATTCATAGCTAATCATATGGAGGCCGTTCGTTATGTGCTCCCTCCGTCTCAAAATAACTCAAGATGGTCACATCCCCATCCTAGATTGAGTTATTTTGGGATGGAGTACTTATGTACCCAGTCGAACATACTCTACTAGCGAAGGTTCGATCGCCGCGCTTCTTTTACCCTCAAAATTGGTTTTGGGAATGAAATAGGATTGGTTTTGGGAATGAAATAGGAGTATTGTTGGTGATGCTATGATAGCTCGCCTCACTGCATTTCTCATGCGTGCTCTGCTTGCAACCGGCGACCATATACGCCAAACATCAATACTTACTAGTAGTGGCTACACACGCATCAACCATGCATGCATGAGTTTGAAAGTTAACAAGTTAGCATTCACAAATTTGCGAGTTACATAAATATAGATAGAAACAAGATCTACTAACTCTTGCATCGACTACCAATCACAACTACAGAGTTCAGCATTCACAAACGAGATCAATGATAATGCATATGTAGTTTTCAGCCCATGCTCATGCTGACACGAGTTGTAGCATGCAAAGACGCGTTGATTAATTGGTTCAGTCTAGGGATCGAGCCGATTAATCGAGTCTAAAACGCATTACACACTGGAGTAATAATCGGCGTCAGCTCCATCGATGATCAGAGCCATGCTTCATCCTCAGAGCCACTCGAGTATGTGTAGGGGAACACTTGAGTTGGAAAGCCTCGATCAAACACGCCAACTATTGGATGCTTCAAATTCTCCATCCCTTGGTTCTTACATGCATAGCAATTACCTACAAAAGAGAAAACATATTAAAACCAATAATTTTGTAGTGGATATTTAAGTCGTATCACAGGTATTCTCATACCATCTTCATTGGGCTCTAAAGGAGAGCAGAAGTAAATTTTATGGCCCAATAATTCCTTCACTTCGGCAAAATATAACACCGATGTCCAATCAGTTGAACAGGGCGCCTTCATCTTGACAGTGAAGTTGAAGTGATGAAAAATCTTGTAATAATGTTCCACGTTAAAGCACTGATGTAGCAGCTCATCAAATTGGTAATCATATTCCTAGAAACAACGTTAGCTGATGTGGTTATTACAAGCTTCATAGAATGTACAAACAATTACTAGAAATCAGAGTAGTCAAACCTTAAGAGAGAGAGAAATAGAGTTCGAACCTTAAGATCATCTCTTCTTGTAATATACTTTTCAAATGCTACCATCGCCTCCTCACTCATCCACTTTTTCCCGTTCTGAGTGATTCCTTCTAAAGAAGAGTCATCACATTGTCCTTGTGTCACAGCTGATTTGTCATGTTCCGGTTCTAGTGTTGATTGATCTTCAGATTTTTCTAGCAAAAACTGCTCAGAACTTGATTCATCATCACTAAATTCAACCTTAGGCAAAACTACACGCTGACCGGTGCGAAGATATTCAAAAGCTGCTTCCATACTATCAAAGGTATGCTCCTTTAAGTATTCCTCATATTCGCGTATCTCCTCTGACCTAAGTAATCAAAATTGTAACCATATCGTTAGTGAAACAAGCTAGTGTAAACCTTTGTGCTGCGAGAGGACTTCATCTATTCTTTGTCATATTTTGGTCATGTCAATTGTGATTTAGCGACAAACTATTATTTCCTCAATTACTGTAATGCAAACTACAATATAATTGAATTGCAAGACTAATAAAAATCTTAGTTAAGAAAAATAAAAAGACTGACTATCAAATATTAAAAATGGTCATATACATCAAATAAAAATTGGTTGCAAAACACTTACAGCGAAGGCGAAACAGCTTCCTCAAGTGCTGCTGGCTGTGCAAATGTAGAATCAAGTCCATCACTGCCCGTGTTGCCAGCATGTACCACGACACTAGGCCATATCAATAATACCCATGCAGCTAGTCAATACAATTTGAAGTAAAAGAACTAGAGGCATGGAAACTATCATGGAAACAACTAAACTAATGATGAAACATTATACCACATAAATAATGGTCCTACTCATCATTTGAAAGAAAAAAAATAAGATAATGATTGTACCAATCAGTTGAACCAGATGCATGTTGTGAGTCATCCAGTGACAGTGCCTCAACTTTTGACAGATCTTTACTTGTAGGGCCAAGTTCACTGCTACTCACATCATCGTCACGCTCCTTAACCCTGGTCAAGACATATACGACAGCAAGCATGGCCATTAGTCAGTGACAACTATAGTGGAGATACTTTAACAGAGAAATGCTGCACATAAGATGGTCACTGTCGCTATAAATTTAACCATTCATACATCTTATAATTTACCCCCCCCCCTAGAAACATGTTGAATATTGCACTTTCGATTGCAAAGCCCCAAGTAATGGGCAGAATATCACAGGGCCAATTAGGTTGAGTATCAGACAAGACCGCTGCTGGTCGATCAAGAGCCAAAAAAATTGGTCCATTTTAGATAAAATAGCATGTAAATCGCCCTTCCACAGAAAAACTCCTCTAAATTTTACCCAGAATTAGGGAAAGGAGAAAGGGAATAGGGAGGAGCTTAGCTCACCAGGTTTGGTCATGGATGCTATAATAATCCAGGACAGGAGGAGAAGAAGAAGAAGAAGAAGAAGAAGAAGAAACAGGGTGTCGGGTTCCCCTACGGCCAGGTCGACGGCGAGTGGAACGGTCTCCCCGTCCCCGTCCCCGGCCAGCTCGGCCGCCGCCGGCTTCGCCGTCCATGGCGACAGCGAGAGTTGGGGAATTTTGGTTTTAGGGTTCTTTCACTCCTCAGCTGCCTACCTCTTCTCCTACCTGATGGACTGATGATTGAGGTTTGGTCCCTCAAAAAAAAAAAAAAGAAAAAAGAGGGGAGAGACTTCTGTAATACTCCCTCTGTCTTTTTTTTACTAACGTGACCATTCGTTTTATTTATATTTTTTTTATAAATATAAAAATATTTATGTCGTGCTTAAAGAATATTTGATGATAAATCCAATCACAAATAAAATAAATGATACATTACATAATTTTTTTAATAAAGTGAATGGTCAAACGTCGACTAAAACGTCAATGGCATTATATATTATTATAACATCAAACAAAAGCGTCTCGTTGGTTGGGCACACTTCAAATTCGAACATAGTAACACAAAAATAGTTTATTATTTAATATTTATATTATATAATTGTATTTTTCATGGTTTAAATACTATTGTAATATGGTAAAAATAGACTACGATAAAATAACCCAAAAAATCAATTCTAAATTAATTTTCAAAATGACATACATTGTGAATGCTTACTTTAATTGGGATTATTTCATTTCTTTTTAAATATGGCATGTAGCTTGGTTGAATACACGTGCCGAGCAACATAAGACAATTCCTGAATTAAAAACATTGACGCTTGTATCAACTGTTAGCGCCCGTATAGAGCTTACGTTGTGGAATAAAAATAAGGGTAATTTTCATCAAACTCCGTAAAGGTGCAGGTTATAAAAAATCACAGAGATTTTAATAACCGTAGATATTACAGTTCTAAAGTTTTACAAAACTACACCATTAATTATTTTGATATATTCACATATAGGGGTGAAAACGGTAACGGTAATTACCGGCCGACCGGCGTTAGTTTTCAACTTTCTACTGGCTGAGCCATATGGAAATGGTAATCGACCGAAACAAAAATGGAAATGGTAAAAAATATGGAAATGAAAACGGAAATGGTTTTGCTGTTATACCGATCGTTTCCGTATTTACCGTATTCTCGCGGAAATTACCGTTTCTTATAATATGGTAATTACCGTATTCTAAATATGTCGATATTATAGGACATGTCTATACTTGACCCACAGCTTATAGATTGAATGACTCTTCAATAAAATCTCTAACTTTTGTACATGGCTAAAATGAAGTTAATTTATAATTTATATAGTATAAGCTTGAATTTATGTATATATATATAACATACTTATGTAAAGTTAAATATATGTTTTTATAGTTTCCGTATTTGTTACCGGTTTTCGATCTGTACCGACATGTTTCCATCCGTATTGTTCTGTTTCTGGTCTTCCGATATTTCCGATATCGTTTTCGTTTCCGACTTTACCGTTTCCGATTTCGTTTCCGAAAAAAATATGGTTACGGAAATTGTTGAGGCTGTTTTCCGATCGTTTCCGACCGTTTTCATCCCTATTCACATATCAAAAATTTAAGAAACCATTTTATACGGGGAATAAAAACCCATAAATTTAATATATAATTGTATAACTTAAAAGTCAAAATAATTAATAGTGAGAAATTTAAGACCATAATATATAGGGTTACGTGTCGCGTGCAAAAAATAATCACTGTAGTTTGGTGTAAATTGTACTCCCTCCGTTTCAAGTTATAAGATATTTTGGCTTTGGTCAGACTTTGACCAAAGCCAAAATATTTTATAACCTGAAACGGAGGGAGTATCATAGTAGGTGGCTTTATGAAATTAATTAATTAATTTACTCTAATCATGTAATTTGAGTCGTAAAATTAAAAATTCGCTTATGATTAGTGTACGTAGTATGTACCTTGCGCCGAGTGCACGAGATGATGAGGAGCCGTTAACTTGTGGCAGCTGCTGGTGGTCACGAGTTGCAGCAGCAGGAGGGCTAACGTGGTCGCCGCCGCCGCCCGGCGGCTCGCCGCCGGCGTGCTCCATGGCAATAACCGGGCGCCGCGCCGGTCGATCGGAATCAGCTATGTTCTTATATTATTATTATTATTATCTAAATATAAATAAAACGAGACGGCCGGTATAAATATATCCGAGCAACAAGGTCGCCGGATTTGATTTCAAGCAGTAGGTTTGATCTGATCTTTCATGGGGGAAAAAGAGGTTACTATTTCTATTCAGAATCGGATTTGATTTAATTCCAAGATAAACAAAGCCAGCCAGCCAGCCTGTACGTATCAACATATGAATCCCACAGATCGTTCCTGTACTCTCAACTCTGAATAATCAGACGAACACCAAACTTGGAACAATTAAACTCCACGATCGATTTCCAGCAAGAAATATGTTATTAGTAGTTCCTAGTTCAAGATTCTCACACTCGATTTCCACCGTATTCATGCATGATGCATCAGCAACTCTGATGGTCTCAAAAAAGCAAAATCAAGCTCTCTGATGGATATGGCAAGCCGAGTCGGCTCAGCTGTAGGGATGCAAGTGGGTAGTCCCGCTACCTGCATAAAAACCCGCTTGCTAGTTTTAGTTTATTTCTCATATGTTAGTACAAAATTTAGAAGAAAAAATAAACTAAAAGTGGGATAAGCGAGAAAAAAAAAGCCCACTTACCCGCCCCGCTTGCATCGCTAGGCTCGGGAGCAGGTCGTCAGGAGGATGGCTTACATGTGCAGCGGCAGCAGTAGACGAGATGAAGGAGGCTCGGCTGGACTGATGTCGTGACAAGGTCAGATTAGGAAGGAATCCGACTGGTTTTCTGTGGCATGTGTGGCTGCAGGTTTTAGGAGATTTGGTAACTGAGGTTAGAGTCCTAGTATAAATAGGAGTTCTACTTCTACTCTATGTAGGAGATTTTCGGTATAAATAGAGGGAGAGGGTATGGCCTCCCGGTATCGGTTGTAAGTGAGGCAAATTTGAGAGATTAGATAGGGTTTCGTAAGAAACTTGTAAGGGGTGCTGTGGCTGCACCTTGTGAACAATACTTGAATAATAAAGATCATATTCAATCATCAAGGTATCGACGATCTATTTCGGTTTTGTAAGTTTTACGTTTATGTTTGGTTTTGGCATTAACTTGTGATTGTTCGTTTTGCTACGATTTTGTTCAAGTTAATCCATCCAAAACCTTCTAATACTTCATAGATCAGATCTGTAAAATTTTGTTGATTGGTTCTTGTTAGATTTGAATTTGCTTAAGTTTTAGGTTTAGTTTAAATTTGTTGAAATTCTGAGACAGCTGACTTTCGAGGGTGTTTTCTCTTAAACCGTTTATTAGTTTGCAAATCCCTCCGGTGGAGTTATTCTTTGGTTTGTCTAGTTTATTCTGTCAAGTTTGTAACTCGATCCAATGGTTGGTTTAAGAGAAATCATGTTTTTACCAAAGCTCTGTCAGGCTGTTTTTAGGGCTGACGGTCAGACCGTCGAGTGACCAGCGGTCAGACTGGCTAGGCTTCGGTCAGACCGACCCTAGTAGGTTGGATAGACCGCCCGACGTGTTTTCCATTGGTTTTTAAGGTTGGGGTGTGTTTTGATTTATAAAGATTCGATTATTTAACTTCCGCTGACGTAATATACCATTCACCCCCCCTCTCTGGTAGGCTTGATTACTTGTATTCGATCCTACACAATTAAACCCCATGATTCTTCCCATAGCTGGGAGATCAAACTAAACATGTAAAAGAATCAAATCACAGGCCGACTTCGTGCTCACTACCCAGTCAAAAAATAATTAAAGAAAAAACAACCAGCAAAGAATTTCTCTCACTTCTCCACCGTATTCATACATGATGCGTCAACAGCTCTGCTGGCCTAACCTCAATCCTCTCAAAAAAGCAAAATCAATCTCACCTCACATGTATATATATGGTACTGTACATATTACATGGAACATTGTCCGAGCTTAATTTGCATCTACTGCATGCATCACACACACACAGACAGACAGACAGACAGACAGACAGATGACCATTTCCAACCACAATCTGCAGCCTGCAAAGGTGATTAGCATTTGAGAACTTAATCTGGCAAAATGATCTGGTAGAGTCCACGGAAGGAAAGCTTGTCAACTCTTCCCAACCCATCAATCCCAAACCGCTTCCCTTCACTATTCTGGATCATAACATGCTCACGGTCATTTGCAGCAGAGGCCATTGGCTCTCGATGTCGTCCATCACCAATAACCATAACGGCATGGGAAACCGGCAGATTGGACTTGGCATGGATGTATGGCACTCTCTTATCATAGCTGTAGATCTCTCCCGGCTTCAAGTAGAAGTAGTTTCGCGACACACGGAAATGTCCTACCATTATATTTCCAGCCTCTAGGAGAGGCATCTTACCTTTTGTGGTTCATTGATGCCAACCTTCTCATATGATGCGAGTTTGAAGAGTCGGTCCTGCAAAAGCTTGCTCTAGTTAAGGATAAAGTGCAGGTATTACAATCATACATAATAGGAATTCAAGATTAGGAACATAACACAAATTAATATAACCCACTAGTATTACTCCCATAATGCATAATGCCATGTGTCCAGCATGACAGCAAACAGATACTCCTACATATATAGAGAGAGAGAGAGACAGAGAGAGGCCAGTCTCCTTTAAATTTGCAGTACTGCAAAACAAAACACTAGTGTGCAAGCTGCAGAGGTTGCAAGCTTAACATCTCCTGTTTGCAACAACTGTCTATGATGTCTATCCACTCTTTCTTCACTAACCCATCTTCCTAGCATTCCCTTCTTGACAACTGTTTTTGTAACTTTGATGGTTAATACTATATATGGTCTGGTAAGAGAGTGTGTGCTCAGAGTCTAAACACAGTTGCTGAGTTAGTACTAGAATATTGGAGTTGATCTGGTTCTGTAATATATCCTTAAGGTTAGCTAGTTTATCCTTACTATTCAGTTATAGAATTGATACTTGTACTTGTGGATTCAAAAAGGATATCACTTGCTACACAAACCCACCTCTTGACCATGTGCCCCTGCTGAAACTGAAGATCAGCAAATGCTAATGATCTGACGACCGTTAAGCCCTGTAAGGTCCAGGACAAGAGGTAATCCTAAGTTCCTAACACTTGATTGTACATATTCCTTCATCACAAACATTATAACATCACTGTGATCTCAGAGGTAATGCACAAATCAGCTCTACATAATTTCAGTTGTCCTACCATAAGAGAGAGCATCTTAATGGGTAGACCTGTTAAACACAGGTTATGTGAGAAACCATCCTATGAACCTGAACTTTCAGAGCAAGCCTTGAATTTGCTTAATCACCACAGCTCAGCTGAGTAAAACAAGTAAAATATTCTAGAAAGTGTTCTTGCAAGGATCCCATTTCCCCTGATATTCTAAATTTACCAACACAAAACTAGCATTGTTGTAGAGCAAGAGTAAAGTGAAAATCAGAACTCACATGCCAAGGTCTGGGTAAACTGGCATTGTTGTTATGAGTGTGCAATGAAGTATCGACTCATCTTTGATCAACGGAATCACACAATGGAGCATTTCATATAAAGCAAATTATGTTTTTAGAAAATATATAAAGCAAATTGATAAGTATTGGCTTATCAAACATTTTGACTGAGCCATACAGGCTAGCTTATGAAACTGTCCATGGCAATGGCATACTAAAAGAGTAATAAAAGATCTGAAAGAGAATCTCACCTCAGGGTCAACTTTGTCACGGCCTATGACACCATCATCTTTTAGAATTTTCAGGGCAGTTTCCACTCGATGCGTGCCCCTTTTCTTGCACTCCTCAGATGCAAACTCTTCAGCAACTGTATTCTCGTACCGAGTCTTTAGGTCATTCAGTGACAAACTCCATGTGAAATCCTGTGGAGGATTTAAGCATGAAAACTGAAATTTGTTTAATGATTCGACTGTCCCTAAACATGCCTGAAAAGAACAAGTATCTGCATGCAAAAAGTAGTTGAAAAGTTATTCACTTATTCAGCTGAAAATAATTACAAGAGAGTAAAAATATAAAAAGGTTATCTAATATATCATAACCATCGCAGTCGCAAAGATAAGTATATCGTACCAGGAGCACCCTTTTGATCTCGAAGGGGAGCCAGGATGTATTTTGTATTCTTGGGTCTTCCTGCCCATGTAAATTCTTCCCCTAGCTGTGAAAGTTCGATATTTCTTGTTCATATATACTAAGAACACATTATCTAAAAAATATATATTAAGAACAAATGAGGAGCATAAGAATTATTGGAGCTATATTTATATACTTGTCTCTCCAAGTGGAACAACATTGTGGTGGTTTTGAAACATTTGAAGTCATTCTATATGCAATATAATTAAATTGTTTTAACTAATCAGAAGCTTGTGTTGTGGACTCGTTTGTGGGCCACCAGTGCCAGTGAGGGCCCACATCAACTGAATGCTAATGTGGAGAAAGCCATGGCAATGCAGGATTCTTGTCATCAGTTGTAAAGGAACTCTAAGCAAGATAACTCAATTTATTAAGATGTTTTCCTTGGTGTGCATGACATTTTCCTTAGCTACCTTCTTTGGAAGTGCAGAGGCAGTGGGTATATCTTTGTCCCGGTCATTCAACTGACTCATAACCTTAGACAACACATTGCTGTTCAATGTCGCAACACAGTGTAGATTTTTTGCATATCCAATTAACTTCTTCCATAAATCTTCACTCGCAATCAGATTTTTACCTTCTCCAATAATCCACAGGCAGTATCTAGAGAAAAAAAAGACAGTCAATGAACATTTCTAGTTAGTCAGAAGAGAAAATTGACAGGCATAACAGTAAAACATACCTTGATCTTGAAAAAGCTACATTCATTTTGCTGCCCTCGAGAAGCTCTGCTTTTTCATCGGAAACTGATGACAGGATTACCACATCATACCATTTCTCATGCAAATTACCGAGAGAGTTAACTTCTATATTAATTCTGTCGTGGTTTTCATATTTGATGCCTAAAAGATTTCTCAGCGCATCCATTCGGTTGTTGTATAGACAAATTATTCCAACATTGATCTTTCCTATGGCATTTGTCCGACCTGCAATGAAAAAAGGAGGTGAATGAATCATATATGAAACACATATAGTTCCCCGAGCATAACATAATCTTGGTGAAAACGCAATGGTAAAATGTATTCCTTTCCTTTCTTTTGACAAAAAAAAAGGCAGCATATACGATTTTTCAAAAAAAGATGGTACTTGTAGAGAAGAAAAGAATGTATACCTTTGCAAAGAAACTGAAGCAAGAACATGATTACAGAAGACTCCACAAAGCCTTTTCCTTTGCCTGTCAACTCATCCACACCACTTATGTCAAAGAACCCATAAGCAGGGACTGGAAATTCTTTTAGGAGCTTATTGTAGTCATCAGACTTGACTGTTGAGTCATCCTTCAATCTACCCTCATAGAAATTTTCACTCACGAATTGACTAATCGAAGGATCCATCATATACTGTTTAGTGAGTCTCTTATTTTCAGAAGAAGAGTGCATCAATCGTTGAAAAAGGCTTGAAGCGTATCCAGCTTCTTTACAAACCTACAACAATTTACCAAGCAAAAAGTCATTTGGGTGTGTAAACATGGTATTGACTCAACTAAATCTGAGCATCACAGTCGTGCATCACAAAAAGTAAATCTAGATTTGCCATGAAAAATAAAAAACAAATTGCAGAAACACAATTCTACTAATACGATTTCAGTTAACAGAAACACATGATTCTACCCTTAAGAAAGGAATGTATCAAATACCTCACTTTTCACCATGGGCTGCAAATGGAGATGATCCCCAAACATCACAATATGTCTTGGTGAAAATGACAGTGGAATAAGCATGTCGATCTCTTTTATTTGTGCAGCATCATCAACCAATAAAATATCGATGGTATCCAACTTTAACTCACGTAGCTGAGAGGAACAGACTGGAGTACAAATGATAATGCGGCTATGTCTAATGCAGAATTCCTCAAGATCCTTTCTATCATCCAGTTGTGGCAATTCAATTGAGTTCATAACAACCTCTATCAACCCAAGACAAGTCATCCGGATTTCATTCAACTCTGCAACATTGCATCCTACCTCCTCCCAGGAAAAATCAATACCAGATGCAAGCCCAAATTCCTTTTCAACACCAGACTGTGTTATATCACTATTCTTAATGCGATCCTCCAAATGTGATAGGCCGCTCAACAATTTGTTTAAGATCTCAATGTTATAGTTCGACAATAATATATCTGACAGGCTGTCAATCAAAATCCGTGAACATTTTTCTACATCTACAGCAAGTGCACAAACTTTCTCTTTAAAAGAACTGAAGGAGAAAACAGCTAGCTTGCTTTTGCTACAGATAGTACATCCATCGTGATCGCATTTTTCCTTGCAGTATGGTTTTAATCCCAAAACAAAACCTAATTCTTTCACAAAACTTCTCCATAAAAATATGCAGCAATAGAGCGCCTGCGCTCTATTTTCCAAATTCATTTCATGTAATTTGTTGCAATTCTTTATGCTTTCAGAGTTACTCAGCCTATTGAGAACAACAATGCCTCTAAAGTCGAATGATGGATCAACTTTCTGTAAACTCTGAAGAAATATATGAATATCTCTTTTCTTTGGAACACACACTAATATTCTTAATCTCAAATTCAGCATACAAATAGCTAAACCGGCAGCTAATCGGGTCTTTCCTGTACCTGGAGGCCCCCATACAAGATCAACTGAATGGTTGTGGTGACAACCTACTTTCGACATAATGCATGTCATTGCACATTGCTGCTCTTCGTTGTATTTTTCGAGATAACTGGAATCTTCAATTCCAAATGCACATAACTCAGCACATGCGCATGTTTTTTTGCACTGCAAACAAAAATTTCAAAAATATATCAGTGTTAAAGCAAACAACAATGATACTTCAGGAAGAGAACAATTTACTATCTTTTTACCTTCTCATTGCGTCTTATAATGGAATTGATAATACCACATCTGCCAGATGACATTGTGACCATTGCCTTTGATATGTTCAAATTATCCATAATGTTAGTAAGAAAACAAATATATCTGATTGATTCTAAATCAGTGTTTTTCTGATTTTCTGAAACTAACATCTTGAAGCTTCTTTGAAACTGATTATCACAGCCAACATCTGTGGCAATACCAAAACAACCTGATAACTGACCCCTTAATGGTTGAGTACTAAGAAAAAACAGATCCCCATCTTTCACAACATGCTGACAGTTATCAATTCCATAAAGATCAATATCAATGTAATAGATGGAAGGTGGCCCAGCAAACGACACAACAAAATCACGAAAGCATTGAGTAGTCTCAACTTTCAACAAGCTAGACTTGATGGTTATACGAACTTCTTCCATTAGCAGATTTGAGTGTACATCCAAATAATGCTGAAGCCCTTTAAACTTGGTTGGTACTTTCTGAACCTAATTCACAGAGACATTTCAAGCTTAAGCAACACAAACATTTACGTTTACATGAGGAACTAAATAACAAGGATTAAGTTAATTGATCAATTATTGCCATTTAAAAGATGTACAGGGAGGAAACAAAAAATATTAAGATGAGCTAGCCACGTTTGTGTTATTCAACAGGAAATGTGCAAAAGTATGCTACATGAGCTAAATTCCAATGATAGAAAAGATCTCTCATTCAAAATACATACATAGGCAAATGTGTACCTCATTATCCAATAATATATCCTGGATTGTCCATGACAAAACAGTTTTTGATAAAAGAGACATGTTATTAGCGTCTCCTCCATCAGCATCATCTCGACTACTGTCGTCAATGTCAACCCCAGTTGCCTTGTTACGGCACGGAGCATCCCCAAAAGCAGGACCTTTCTCCTCTATGTTGTTGCTTACACTCTTGTCCAGCTGCAATGCAATATCCCTCATTCAGTGCCTCAAAATCAAACTCCCGAAATGGTTGTCTAATCCGAATAAAAGTTCACCTTGGTGGTCGTCGCGGCGCGTGGCGAGCTCTGCGCCGTCGCTGGCCCACCCGGCGCGCTCTGCGCAGGCACCGTGCGTCGTGGCGAGCCCCCCTGCGGCACAGTCGCCGCCGTCGCTGGCGCGCGCGGCGCGCCCTGCACCGACGTCGCTGCCGCTGGTGGCGCGCCCTGCCTCGGCGCCGTCGCCGCCCCGCCTGGCGCGCTTCCTCCTCCTCCCGAGACGGGCCCTCCTCCGCCTCCGCCTTGGCCACCAGCCGCGGTCGGCGGCGGCGACGCGGCGCGTGGTGCTGGGCTCCCACCATCGGCGCCACCGCCTGCACCCGACGACGCTTCTCCGGCGACGGCATGGCTGCTCGTCCCGGCGTCTTCGTCCCGCGCCGCGGCCTCCTCCCCCGCTGCTGTCGCACCAGCAGCACCCACTTTCTTTTTCCCCTTCCGCCGCTGTTTCGGGCCCATCCCGGGCTTCTACCGGCGGCGAGGGGTACGGTCGAGCCGGCGGCGGGGCCTCCGCTTCCGGGGCATGAGCTTGTCAAGTGCAAAAAGGAGGAGGAAGGAGACTGTGTGATGTAGAGCAGCTCACGAGCTGTCCAACTTCTTTTTTTTCTTTTCTTTTCTTTTCTTTTCTTTTCATTTTTCAGCCCAAATCACTTAAACAGAGTATTCATAATTACTCGATCCGTTTCGAGTTATAAGATGTTTTTAATTTAGTAATATTTACAATACCAAATCATTTTTATTAAATTAATAATTAAATATATTTTTATAATAAAATTATTTTAGATCGAAAATATTACTATTTTTTCTATATAAACTTAGTATGTTCTTCCTTTGTCTTAAAATTGATTTATTTTTTAAGTAAATCTTATCATAATCAATCACCTTCAATTTAAAATTATCTCTATTCTACCCCCAACCTAGTATTATATGTAGTTATTTTTCCTAAATCTTAATGTTTGCTAAATAATATTCTAAAACAACAACAAGTATATTGGAATTGGGTAGTGTTTGCCTTCTCGTAGCTAGCTAGCTAATACTTTCTCCGTCCAAAAAAAAAATCAAACCGTGGGTTCCTGTGCCAACGTATAATTGTTCGTCTTATATGAAATTTTTTTATAATTAGTATTTTCATTGTTGTTAGATGATAAAACATGATTAATATTTTATGCGTGACTTATCTTTTTAATTTTTTAATATTATTTTTAAATAAAACAAACAGTGAAACGGAAATCAGGATTTGTCTTTTTTTTTTAACGGAGGGAGTAGGTTAGAGGCTCGTTGTCAAGAATAATGAGCAACTGATCGTTTGACACGATACAACGATACTCCTACATAGCGGCGCAAAATCCGAGACATGAAGCAAAGCTACTGTGTGCCTAGCTAGCTTAGCTCTGCAGAACGCTGAAACCGACCGAGCACATCCGATCCAGTCAAGGCGTGAATATATCGTCTCGGCTGCAGAATAAATAAATGTAACCTATAAATATACTCCCTTTTCCACAAATAAATAAATGTTTTTCTAAGAAAGGCAAAAAATTTGCCTTATATATTGATAGAGAAGTAGAACAAATAAATAAATGTAACCTATAAATTTAAATATACTTTATAAGCATATGAATATTTTTTATAATATTATACTATATCATATGTCATACTAGATTTATTTATTTTTTTTATAAACAATAATTAATAATTTTTCCAGACGAACTCATTTCCCTAAGCAGGCGAGCTAAAAATTTTAACCAAAAGACCACCTGCAATGTGATGGGTGGAAGGCAGGGTTTCATTTACCGCCGGGGCCGCGGTTACCGCGCCCCGGCGGTAAGCACGGTTACCGCACGGTAACCGCGGTAACCGTGACAAACCGCGACAAACCGTACAAAATTTATCAAAAATTTAAATTATTTTTCAAATTTATTTGAATTTGACGCGGTTACCGCGGTTTACCCCTTACCGTACCCCCGCGGTAAGCGCGGTAACCGCGGTAACCGCGCGGTTTACCGCGGTAAATGCAACCCTGGTGGAAGGTGGGATGGCCGTCATCTCCGAAGATATACTATCTCCGAAGATATTAATGTATGTTGACCTGTACATACATTAATTAATTACTAATTTATTTTCAAGAAAAATATATACTAATTGCCCCAAATTTGTGTAGTACTAGTAACTTAAGATATTTTGTGTTTGTGCATGTTCGTGTGATTGATTGTATCCAAAGTGAAAAATAGAGGGTAGTCTGATTTCCAAAAAAAAAACATAAAATAGATGAACAATTGATCGATATATAATGCCCAAGATGGATTCTACAATCTCCATCTTTTGGGCTACATCATCACGCACAGTACCCTAGGATATCTGTAACGCCACTGTACAGAGAAGAGAAAAGCAAGCTAGGATAGCATATTATAGGCAGGCAGCTCAAGCAACAACTATCACTAGCAGACTATTCCTATCGTCCAAAAAGAATTCAAACTAATACTATGGAACATAATCTGTCACAACAAATCTGGATAGGAGCCTGCTCAAGCAACATCTATCACTAGCAGACTACTCCCACCGTCAAAAAAACGCAACATAGTACTTCGATAGAACATAATCTAACACAACGAATCTGGGTAGGCTCCTATCTAGATTCGTTGTGCTAGATCGTCTATCCAGATTCGTTGTGCTCAAGATTATGTCCCATCGAATTAATATGTTGAGTTTTGTTGGGATGGAGGGAGTAGGAGGCAAATGTCTTAACGAGGGATAAACTGAACCGAACGTGTGCATCCATCCCTCTTCATGGCTACCAAAATATGTGTGCTTTTTTTCAAGATCCAGCAATATCGTATTTTACAGGTGATAGTAGAGGTTTATTTGGCATAGCTCCAATTCTAATACCACCTATCGGAGCTATAGCTCAACCAAACAATTCCAACTATATGTAAAATGAAAGTGAAACTGAGTGGATCTCTCTTACAAAATAAATTAGAGAGGTGGAGCTGAATTTAACCACCTCCACAACTCCACTCCAGACCCAACTTCTAGAGTTAAATTTAGGGCCTGTTTGGTAGAGCTCCAACTCCTAAATTTAACTCCAGGAGTTGGGTCTGAAGTGGAGTTGTCTAAATCCAGCTTCACCTCTTTAGTTCATTTTGTAATAGAGCTCCATCCAGCTTCACTCTCATTTTAGATGAAACTGAAGCTGTTTGGCTGAGTTTCAGTTCCAGTAGAGGTGGAGCTGGAGCTGGAGTTGGAGCTGTGCCAAACGGGTCCTTATGAACTGAAATTTTAACAAACGGACCATAGTACTACTTTTTTTAGCTAAGTAGTTGTAAAAATTGATTTTTATATACGGTCAGTAATCCCTAAAGCTCCTATGTATTTTTACAAGTGGATGTTATTTTTATCGCAAGTAAAATTTTAAAAGCGTCATGAAAAGTTATTTTTTAAGTAACATGACCGATCGATATTACTATGAGATAGTGAGGTGCGGGCAGGAGCGTGTATGTACGGCGTCAGGATCAAAACTTCAAACTGAAAAATTAAAACCATGCATGGAAGTAAAAAAAACATAGCGAAAAGAACAAAAAAAAAGAATAGCGAAAGAGAGAGAGCATACAAATTTTGGCGTTCGATTAAAGAAACCATGAGATTTTTTAAAACAAATCATGGATGACATATGACACCATGTACGTTGCGACGTGACATTGATGAGTGCGTTTGTGAAATTAGGCCTTGTTTAGTTAGAAAAAATTTTGCCTATACGTGTCACATCGGATATACGGATACACATTTGAAGTATGAAACGTTGTCTAATAACAAAATAAATTACAGATTCTGTCAGAAAACTGCGAGACAAATTTATTGAGCCTAATTAATCCGCCATTAGCAAATATTTACTGTAGCACCATATTGTCAAATCATGGCACAATTAGGCTTAAAAGATTCGTCTCGCAATTTACACGCAATCTGTGCAATCGAATTTTTTTTCTACATTTAACTCTCTATACTCTATACATATGTCCAAACATTCGATGTGACAGGTGAAAAATTTTGTTTTTAACTAACGGAGCCTTATAATACATGGACCTAAGAAGTGACTATTCTAACATAAAAAATTTTTATAGGTGTTCTCGTATAGAAAAATTGTTTCTATAGTAGTAGTGGTAGGTTAGAAAAGGACTAACGGAACTGTTAAAATACCATCTATTGTGTTTAGATCTAGGGGTGAAAATTTTTGTCGTGTCACATCAGATATACGGACACATATTTAAAGTATTAAATTTAGTCTAATAACAAAACAAATTACAGATTTCACCTGTAAACTGCGAGATGAATTTATTAAGCCTAATTAATTCATTATTAGCAAATGTTTACTGTAGCACCACATTGTCAGATCATAGAATAATTAGGCTTAAAAGATTCGTCTTGCAATCTACACGCAATCTGTGTAATTAGTTTTTTTTCCTATATTTAATACTCCGTGTATGTTTCCAAACATTCAATATGACATGGTAAAAATTTTTACTGGGAATCTAAACATGCCCTATGTCAAAGATAAGTCATGAGATGTGTAGCTTCTTGTGATGAACAGTATAAATACGTTAAGTGGGTTTCAGCTATATAAGAGTACATATATATGTACTAGTACTACAGGATGGAGGACATATTTGACCATTTATAAAGTGGGCTTCGATTATTTAAGATCCTTGCCCATATTTATTCACCCACATGTTATTTTGAAAATTGTCAATTAAACCAATTAGTAAAATAAAATATCAACTTATCATTTTTTTCATGAACGGAGGAGTAGTAGTTTAATTTTCTATTCATTGAAATTATAAATTATCAAGGCATGAATTATCAATTAAAGCAATTTGACAATGAACGTACAACATGCAAGGCAGAAACTGCAAGTTATGGGCATTGAAAATTAATAATTTCCCCTAAAAAAGAAAATTAATAATCTTGGGGCCTCTTTGAGAAAGCAAAGGACCTTCATGTAATACCTACTTTTTCCTGAGGGTATATTGGGAAAATATATAGGCTCTCATGCATGCATGTGCATTTATGGCCGTACGTGTCCAACTTAATTAGCTTGGTCTCTATATTTTTTAAACTTTTTCCTGTATAACGAATCAATTAGCTTATATCGAAGTAATTATCGGCTGCACCAAAAGTGTCGACACTCGCATTTGAGGTTATTCTAATCAATTGAAAAGAACTGCAATTATTTGTATCAGGGCACAATAAACCCCTTTTATTTGCTACTGTAATGCAAAATAAAATCTACTAGTAATTGATTAGAATAACCTCAAATGAGTGACGACACTTCTGGTGCAGCTGATAATTTTAATTACTTCCA